TGGTTCAACTCCTCGACCATGTATGATCAGACGCCAACTCGACTGGCCATGATGCTGCTCCCGACGATAGCAGCGGTGCACTTTCTGCACCAGAAGTCCCAAGGTGTGGAGATACTCCCCTGGGCCGTGCTCACAGAGCTGCTAGAGAGAGTGAAGGGGCTTGGGCTCATCACTAAGGATGAGATCCTGAACCTTGCCGTGGAGATACTCCCGGAAGGTGGGATTCGACAGGTGCTCACACACCTCCACTCCATCTCGGGCATCGATGAATGGGGACAAATCCGGCACAGACGACGAAGAGCCCTGGTCGAACAGGGGATGCAGTACCTCTCTCTGGTTCGCATCCACGCTGGAGACCTGATTTCCCCAGCAAGCCTCGGTTACCACCGGTACGACTTGGAGATAATGGAACGAGAATCCCATATCACGGGATACATCGCCAAATATCTCCCTGCTGAGTACCAAGAGGCCTATCAAGCTGATGTGCAGACGTTGAGGTCTCAGTTTTTTGCTGAAGACGGCAAACTTAACCTGGCCTCGGCGACGTGGGAGGTATCTTACAATCACCTCATGGCCGCCACTTCCTGAGCCAAGTGAGAAGAGGAGATGCTCCCTAAGCAAGAGCTCCTGTAACAAATAGAGGAGTTTCTCCCTAGTTAGGCGTAGAGCTGGCGGAGTTACTCCCCAGGGGTTTTTGAACTAGTAAAGTCACAGGTGGAGCTTCTCCCCTAGTTGGTGGAGCTTCTCCCCCAACGAGGGGTGTACAGCTGGTGGAGTCTCTCCCTAGGGGTTTTTAAAAGCTTTGAGTCGCTGCCTGCAATGATTCTGCCTGCACTGAGCCACACTGAGCCAACAGCAATCCACCATCCGTGATGCAGGTCTCCTCGTGGTGGCCTGGAACTCAGTGGCCTAGGCCCAGCTGCCTGCTTAGAAGCCAGCTTGAGCCAACAACCGCAGCTTTCTCTCAAGACTCAGCATCATGTCCAGACCTGAGTCAACACAGGATCCCTCGTTTCAAGCGGAGTACGAGGAATTCTGCCAGCGACGGATACGTGAACAACTTCCGCATGTCACGTATCGCAATTTCCTGCGCCAGTGGAGGCGCTCCGCTCGTGCTCACGGCGAAAGCTATCCTGCATATAAAGGAGTCTCTAAAGGTACTGGTGGACAGGAAGAGCTGGGAAGCGGAAAGGGTGGAGTCACTCCCCCTCCTCCTCCTTCCAAGAAAAGAAGTACAGGGCAAAGCGAGGGTGGAGATACTCCCCCAGCAGCAAAGGCCAAGAGTGGAGATCCTCCCTCGGGGGACCCAATCACGGAAGCTGCGATCAAAGTTCTTCAGTCAGCTGGTTATACGCCCTTTCCCAGTCTGATTTCAGACTGTGATGGGAACATCACTGACCTGAACAATCACCGAATTATGGTGACAGTAACTCAGCAGCTGCGAGATGGCCTCAATCAGGCGGAACGACCCTCCCCGGAGATAGCCAATGCTCTCCTGGAGACCTTCCTGGCCTCTCGCCGGGGACTTGCCAATGAGCCTCTGCAGCCGAAGCTTGGATATCCCACAGCTGAGGAGAATGGGTGGTTTCGTTTTGAGTATTCTTCACCGAACATTCTTCCTGCAGGGGACAGCGAGGTTGCGTTCCACGGCACACACCTGGAATGTTTGCATGGGATACTGGCCACAGGCAGGCTACTACCTTCGACACCTGACCTCTCCGGCACGCGAAGCTTCGAGGCACGACCAGGTGTGTATCTCCACAAGATGTCAAACAGGCATCTTGCTGCCGGTTACAGTTGTCTGGTGAGGATAGGACCTCGGCACATATTCGTGCGGCCCATGTTTGAGGTGGAGGCTGCGCACTCTGGATCGCAAAAACGTGGTAAGAAAACAAACCAACTGATATACTCCTATGATGCAGTCAAAATCCGAGCGCTGCTACTGCAAATATCAACCAAGGAGACACTCACCTTAGGTGAGTACCTCCGAGAGTGGAGTGGCTTGTTGGAGATACCACTGAGACAAGCACGGGAATCCTTTTTGGCGTTGGGATACGAACTGCCTGGCGAAGCCTCGTCAAGTGGAGTCAAGGAAGGAGGAGTTGCTCCCCTTCCGGTTTGTGAGCAGGCGTCCAGCTCACAGGGTGGAGTTTCTCCCCCGACCATGGCGTCAGAGATTGACCACAGCTCAACAACGCCACGTAGCTCCACTATAGTGGCCTGGGAGGGCCAACCAGGCGATCTAGGGGACTATTGCACTGCCTCTACGAAGCCGGAGACCAGCTTCTCGTTCGAAGTCTCGAAGGCTCTAGCAGCTTCGCTCCGGCACGGACATAAACCCTACATCAGCGTCACTTCAGCTGGTTGGGCCAAATTAGAGGACGTCCTGAGATGGCCAAGAGTGCAGGCCCAGCACGCCACGGCAGGCGACCTCATGGAGGTCGTTCGGAGTAACGCAAAAGGCAGGTACGAGCTGGGCGATTGCCAAGGCCAGAAGTACATCAGGGCTCTGCAAGGACATTCTCGCTCTGATGTGGACTCCAATGAGGTGTTGGAGGAACTCACGGAGGAGATGCTCCCCAGAATGCTGTATCATGGCACATTCTGGTCCTTGTATGACTCCATACGCCAACGAGGCCTTCTGCCTCAGAACAAGATTTCCAAGGGCCGCGGCAAAGGCGGACGTGGCAGAGAGGGACGACAGCATGTTCACTTCGTCTCGGATCGGGACTATGGGAGACCTGGTGTTTCTGGATTCAGAGATAGCTCGTCGATGCTGGTAGCGGTCGATCCACGCAGAGCCATGCAGGTAGGGGTGCAATTTTTCCGTAGCAAGAACGGCGTCATTCTCACCCCTTCCGAAGTGCCCCCTTCTGTCATAGAGTACTACCAGAGCCTGAAATCAGGTACTAAGTACGGAGGCGACAACAGGCCGCTCTGATCGTGAGGACCCTCACCTAATGGTGGAGTCCCTCCCCACACTGATAATGCAGCTGCTCACGCAAAAATCTATGTTATGAGGCTGAAGGTCACTTCAATTTCATCACCAGACAGCAAGTATACCCCGAGGTCGCATGTGAAGCTCCGTGCGCAGTCGTGGGCCCGGATCTGCAAGTGAGTTGTCAGCCAAAAGTTTTCTGGAAGCTCTACTTGCCTTCTCGTACAGGCTCAACTCACCAGCTGTCTCGACTGTAGAAGCCATGCCTGAAACACCGAAGAAGAGTGGCAGCAGAGCGACCTCCCGAACCCCTCCTCCAGTGCGACGTCGGCCCCACCTATCCAGGTCGCCGCCAGCCAGTGACGCCATTCGGGAGTCCGACTCCGAAGACACAGCAGCCCCTAAAGCAGCCCCTAAAGCAGCTGGGCCTAAGGGCCCGCCGCCTCCGATGCCTGTTAACCTGTCAGGAAGTGGATCTAGCACAGATCGGACACCGGGCCCAGGTAAGGCACCTGGAGTGCCAGTGAAAGGTGGAGTCCCGGGAGGAGTTTCTCCCCTGGGACCACCGCCAAAGGCTGTGACCTCAACGATCTCCCATCCAGGGACAGGAGAGCTTCATGTCACCAGCACAAGTCCGGCAGGAGTTGCTCCGCCATCTACAAATAGCAACAACGGGCTGGAAATGGCGCCTGGCCTGCCTTTACTGAGTGTTTCATTGCCTCACCGCCTCTACTATAACATAGAGCTAGTGGTTCGTACCGAGCCTTCACAGCGAGGCTAGACACTCTCGCGAGACAGCAGTGTGCAAAATGGACGTCGCCAATCAGTCAGCGATACATTGCAAATCAGCCGGTTAACTACTTCATTAGTGCCAGAGTCTGCAGCTCGAGTCACTGAAGACACGTCCGATTCCGACTTCATTGCTTGCAGCCTTGAGGGGCGGAGCGTGTGCGAGTGCTGTGTTAAGGCACGGCTCGTCATGAAGTGACCGCGCAAGTAGCAAGCAGAGCAGCAGGTCGATTCCTCGCAAAGCGTGGACGTTAAGTTTCACCTCAGACAGTATCCTCCCGCTGCGTGTGAATGAAATGCTGTTGTTGTTGTTGTTGTTGTTGTTGTTGTTGTTGTTGTTGTTGTTGTTGTTGTTGTTGTTGTTGTTGTTGTTGTTGTTGTTGTTGTTGTTGTTGTTGTTGTTGTTGTTGTTGTTGTTGTTGTTGTTGTGTTGTTGTTGTTGTTGTTGTTGTTGTTGTTGTTGTTGTTGTTGTTGTTGTTGTTGTTGTTGTTGTTGTTGTTGTTGTTGTTGTTGTTGTTGTTGTTGTTGTTGTTGTTGTTGTTGTTGTTGTTGTTGTTGTTGTTGTTGTTGTTGTTGTTGTTGTTGTTGTTGTTGTTGTTGTTGTTGTTGTTGTTGTTGTTGTTGTTGTTGTTGTTGTTGTTGTTGTTGTTGTTGTTGTTGTTGTTGTTGTTGTTGTTGTTGTTGTTGTTGTTGTTGTTGTTGTTGTTGTTGTTGTTGTTGTTGTTGTTGTTGTTGTTGTTGTTGTTGTTGTTGTTGTTGTTGTTGTTGTTGTTGTTGTTGTTGTTGCTGTTGCTGTTGCTGTTGTTGTTGTTGTCGTCTCGTTCTCGTCCTTGATACTGGTATGTGTCCTGATATTGTTCTTATTGGCGTTCTTGTTGCTGTCGGTGCTGCTTGTTGTTGTTGTCGTCGTTGTTGATGTGTTTGGCTGTTGCTCTTGTTCTTGCTATTATTAGTGTTTTTGTTATCATCAATGCTCTCGCTAGTGGTGGAACATACAAAAGGACATCAAAAGGACTATGAGATGCTGTTGCGAATGATGCCGATCCCCGAAACCATGGAAACAATAGACTGGATTCTTCTCGGGATGGTAGCTGCGTATAACGACAAATGCTTAGATTATCAGAATACTTCTCTCATATAAAGGAACTGAAAATTTAGACTTTCAGAATACTAATAATCACTGATATCAGTTTACCGCTCTGCGATTCTGATTGGAGAGTTTTAGGTGCTAGAGTCTGGTAGAGACACTGGAATCCCGTTCAGCCACGGCTCACATGATTCTCCGAGTCGGTGACGTAGAGGTGGGCATTTGCCTGCTCCAGCGGAGTTGAATTAGGTGAAAGAGAACTGGCTCATGGAAGTTGGACTTTGGCCTTCGAGGATGCCAATGTCCAGGCATGCAAGCGCCGGGGCGCAGGGAGCGAGAGCGAGAGAGGGAGAGCGAGGGAGAGGGTATGGGAGAGAGGGCAAGAGGGAGGCGTCCAGCACCCTCTCTCATTGCAAACCTTTTGCGTGGTGAATGGTCAGCCGAATCAATCCACAAGCCAAACCGCTAACAAACCGCCAGCAACCCAAATTCCTCCAAACTCTACACGCCCAAGAAGGAAGCATACCAGCACACACACACACACACACACACAAGCCACCAAATAAATCTTCATGAACTACTGTGTAATTCTGAAAAATGCTGAACGCACTTTCCAAACTTAGAACTCGACACCGTCCCCCGACTCCGTTGAGTAATCAAAACATCAAACCCACACCTCTCTCCCCCCGAAAGCCCTTATTAACCTCTGCATGAACCCTAAACCCTGCGGCCTCATCCAAAGCCAAACCTCTCGGATGGCTCATCGTTGCATCCCTGGCCGGTTGGCCGTCCCCGCCTCAGCATCTGACTGTTTCATGCTTCACGTGGCGTAAACCCGGAGGGTTTAGGATTTAGGTTTCAGGGCTTTCGATCATGAGTATCATGTCTGCTGCTGTGTGTGTGGCCTTAGGGTGTTTGTTAATGGGGCTCAGCGGTGTCTTCTGCTCTCTTACCTCTTGTGTGTCCGGTGTTAGGAGCCTTGCAGCTCAAGAGTTTACGGGGCCTGGGGTCAATTTCAGGTTCAAGGCTTTTGGTCTCCAACGGCTTGCAAATGATGTGTTTGTGTGCCAGCTATGTCCTTGGATTAAATTGTAATTGAGGCGTCCCCAACCGTTTCGAAGTGTTTGCGACTTTAAGCGTATGGGATTGAAGGATACACTGGTTTGGAGTAGGGACATACAGTAGAACATGCGGCATTCAAGGTTGTGCTTGGGGCGTTTGGGCTTGGGGCTTTGTTTGCTTTGAATTCCTGATGGGCCCCCAGCATCGTGCAGTCATCACTGGTATGAACTGGTTTCGGAGAGCATGCGAGGCTTTTGTCATGTGGAGAATCGGTTTCGTGTGGTTTATGTCTCTTGAGCCAAGAGCGCTTAGACATGCTTGCAGTCTCAGTTTCGGGGCTTTCGGGCAGAACACGAACTGCTACGGGCCCGGGCCCATCTAGGCGACGCGGGACTACGTTGGGAAATCGTTCGGGTATCGTTCTGTCCAACTTGGGGTCGTCCACTAGTTTCCCAACTGCACTTTCAATCCCGAAAGCCTCGACACCCTCAAACTGCCGAAATCCTCCCTTTAAACGACGCAGGGTTATGATGGCAACATTGCTGTTTTTGGGGCATCGTCTTTAGGGTGTCCTCTATCGTGTTACAGGTCACCGCTAACATTTATCTTCGACAACCGTCTGTATCCAAACCAATACACGATAATCTTGATGCATCAGACTTAGGGATCGGGGGTTTGGGTTTGCAGCTTCGGGCTTGGGTTTAAGGTTTCGCATGTAGGCATTTAAAGGGTTTGAGGATTTCACAGTGGCAGGTGCAAATAATCACATACTACCCAAAACACAAACCTACAGTACTGCGATTGCTTGTCTAATACAGTCCTAGACGCAAAAGGAGAAAGTGATTTAAGGGAGTGCAGTACTACTATCCCAAACCCCAGTACCTAATTGTTGAACCCTGAATCCCTGCGATTTGGGTTGAGTTTTGGAGGATTGAAAAGTTGGCATTTTAGTTTGGGATGGGCCGTCTCGATCTCAACTGTATAGATGGGGCCTTCTTCCGGGCCTTCTCTAACCGATTTAAGGAAGGGGCGCGGTAGCTTAAGGGTTTAAGCTGCGCGTGCCAGTAGTCGTGTAGAACTGTGGATAAGATCATGGCGACGAAAATTTGAAAAAGAACGAGGGAAGTAGAAAGGCTTCTTGGGACTGCGGTCTGGCTTCTAGTTCAGGGCTTTAGGGGAGCAAGATTTGGAGCTGTTGCAAGACTTATGGGTCACCCTGCTAAACCCTAAACTCTGAAGCCTAAAACCTAGAGCTCAGTAGGTTGAAGACACTTGGCGCTAATTAATCCGGTGAGAAGGCTGCACAATTTCCAAGCACTAGCACAGCCCTCGCAAGAGTTATACCGGCGCCTCAATGCATGGAATAAGGTTTTCGGCGTTTATACAACTATACAGTTACCACAAGGTCTTCGGTCCTCTATACTATTCCCACTGGCATTTCGAATGAAAGACCTCGATCTCCCTCCTAAACCCCAAACCTAAACTCTGAATCCCAACATGGGGGTTTTATTCATTCGAAGAAGAATATTGCACGGTCATTTTGACTATAGCAAGCCAGCCTAGGGCTTGGTGTTACCAAAAAATCGGACTCCCATCTTACACCCCTGAACCCTAAACATCCTACATATACCCAAACCCTAGGGCCTCTCGGAGCACTGGAACCCAACCCTCCACTGAATCTTCGGGGGCATAGGAAATGGGCGCCTTTAAGGGGTCACTTTCAATAATGGTTACCATAGCGGCTTTGGCATAGGGGCCTCAACTAATGACTACGTAGAACTGATCAGAAGGGGATTTGGAAGATAGGATTTAGATGATTAGACTATATGAGGAAACGCAGTTACAACGTATTGATGCTCTAAATACATATATATATATACACACAAACAAATGAATAAGCATACATAACTAAACAAGCAAACAACGAATCAGCAAATTTTCATATAGTAGATATATTATATTGAGAACCGGCTGCTGCGACGATTTAAAGTTGGGAAACCCCAATAGTAAGGCAAGGAGCCGAACATGCCAAATGCCGTGATCTTGCAAGCTGAGCCCTAAGCCACATCAAACCAGAAAGGCAACACTTTTTGATGATGTAGAGCCCTGATGAATACACCCGACCTAAAAAGTGATGATAATAGGGATCCTAACATTAAGGCCCTAAACAACAAGTTCTCATTGATGTGGGGTCTGCCCTACACGCAGCCCCGATTTCTGAGACCTGGGCTGAACTTGGTAAAGGACTCGCCCACCCCCGCTGCAGTCAGCACTTCGTTCCGATTTATGTCCTCGGGGTGTCCAGGTTGGGGATGAAAGTTACAATTTGCATGGTATGACACCTGTGGGCCCCTGCCGAAGTAGGGTCGCGCGGCTCGCTCCCAGCAAGCGTCAAGCTGCGCTTTCTGGTCGCGCATGTATTTTTGGGTATGTGCATACACATACATTCAAAGGTACATAGGTACACAAATACATATATATATATATATATATACATACACACACATCGACATGCATGAACCCGGTATGCGGTATGCTTCAATTCCAAAATGCGAAATCTCAGGCTCCTTCAAGCAAGTGCTCTATTGCACAGTGAACGTGAAGCTCATATGAGGCTTTAAGATGAGAGCTGCCAAGCCGTCGAAACAGAGACCACACAGCAATGGCAACACTACGGCAGCAAACAGCAACAATCGTGTGAAGCCTGCTGAGGTAACAGACCTGAGACATGCACGACAGGTAGCAATGTATGGTCTACCCTAACACCTTAACCGTAATCGACAGACACTCCTCGTTGTTCCTGATATGCCCCGGAACCCAGGGAAATACGCTATCCCTGAGGGGTTCATGACCATTTACATGCTAGACTACACTTCCAAATGCTGTTCAGATTGTTGAGGCCTCTACATTGACAGTATATTTACTTCCACAAAGTCATTTAAGACACAAGCCAATTATAAAACCCCATCAGCAACCCTATCCTAGTCCAAGTTGTTACAACAAGATGCCAAGACCTTGATCTTGTTGTTGCCAGCGTCGCAAAAGTAAAGGAGCTGCCTCCCCATCACGGCTTATTTTTTTTTTGCGCCTCTGTTGCGGGCCCTTTCCGCTGCCGAAGTGTCGGAAACCCATGGCTCATGAGGGCGTAGGGATGTGTAGGGGTTTAGGGTTTGGGGTTCAGGGTCGCCCAAAGCAGCTGCTTTAGGGGGCTTGGTCAATTAGAACAGGCTTTTTGAGAGGGTGTGAAAGAGTTTGTTTCGATGTTAATCAGTGTCATTGTAATTTCATAAACCGGCCGCAAAAATTGGACTCGGGCTTCGGTGTAGGCTACATTATAAGAGACCACATAAACAAGAGCATCTAGAAAGAACTGTTACCGAATTATCATTTTCGGCTCAACGTCGGCTGAGTTCTTTGTCGATTTGGAGTTTTCGGGATCAGAAAACTCAAAACGGAATGTCCCTTGATGTAATCGGCAACAAGCCTTGAAGGTCTGTGGCATAAGGTTCCCGGGGCAATGAACTCTTTGCCGCAGTCCGGTCCTTTCCAACAATAGTTTGAACTTTCGCTTTCCCTTTCCAATGGTCTTTTCGTCTATGGCAAAGAGCGAACGCCGTTGTGTTGTCGGTTATATGGTCTAACACCAGTGTCATGTTGCGGCTTTCTTTAATTTATGGTGAACATATTCGGGTCTAAGGTGGGAAGGGGATTAAATGACAAATGGAGTTCATCTTTCAAGGCAGGAAAGACCTGAACAAGCACACCAGAGGCTGCCAATCTTCTGCTTCCTTGCATGGAGTCCCCTAAAGGAACCGCACTTTCAGTGCAAGCAGTTGTCTGAGGAGCACTCCGGTGCAGTTTCGGCAGGGTGGCGTTGATTGCCTGAGCATTGAAGCACCAAGCCCAAAGGAGACATCACATAGGTGGGCTACGACGGCGTCGGAAGGTAAACTCGCAGATGCTGCACGGATCAGGGCCCCTGCGCTTCAGCATGTCCAAAAGCTTTTGCGAGGACTCCATCCTGGCTCCCGGGATGGTGACGGCATCTCCACGAGCATGGCTGCGATTGCTGTTGCACAGCGGGTCACTGTCTTCGGAGAACTCATCCGCCGAAAGGCCTGAGTTTCCTGGATGGTAGTAAGGATCTGCTGCACCGGGCCGTTGACCTGCCGCTTAATTTCACGCAAGCTCGCGCAAAAATGCGAGATATGACTAGATCACAATATGAACTGCTACATTTGGCGGCCGACTTCGCGCAAGATTGCTGCCGCCGTTCTGGCACCAGGCCGCACCTCGACCACAGCTGTCCACACCATCCATGGGGCCACAAGGCTCAAACTTTTCATAATTTGTTTCGGCAAGGCCGTCGTGCCTCTCGTCTTTGGCCGATTCCTTCTATGCGCCAACTAGTGTCCGGGGCATGTCATGGTGTACCATACATACTGTGCGAAGGTGTCATGGGATGCTACCGCATGCTACGTGGAAATCCGGCTGAGCAAGCCAGATACACTGAGGGGGGTCGGGGGCGGGAAAGATGAACGTTTATCCTTCACGGCGATTGGTTGCGAACGGTGACGGGGTCAGCGATTAAATCTTACCTTGCACGGCGGGGGTTTGGGGGGCAGATGGGGGGGGGGGGAAGATTATATATTTTTTTTCTTTCACGGCGGCTGGGGGATGAGGGGGGGAGGGTGAAGGATTGAAATCTTTATCTTTCACAGTAGAGGCTTGGGGGCGAGCCAGGGGGGCGAAAGCTTGAACTTGATCTTTCACGGCGCGGGGTTGGGGGGGCGGGGAGGGGGGTGAAACATGGAATTGCTTCTCTCACCAGGCGGGGTTGGGGCCGGGGAGGGGGGTGAAATATGCACTCTTATCTTTCACTGCGTCTGATTGGAGGCGGCTAGTCCTAGCTGCTAAGCTCCCTTGCAACTGAGCAAGCAGACTCTAAGAAATGTTAAGATCGTTTAGGGTGTAGGGTGACATTCAGGGTAACCCCGATTAGGGTACGACTAGCTTACTACGTCCGCTCGTCCTTAAAAGTAGCCGACTAAGTAGCCTATGTGTTCAGCTGCTCGATGTTCTTGGGGCTCCCCTGAATCACAAATCTATACCAGGACTCCACTGGAGCTGCGCTTCTTCAAGGCCTGGTAGTTTTTCAGGGTTCAGGGTTTACAGTTGCTTTAGGATGTCCAGAGGTTTGGGCTGCAATTTCTTGCATTCGAGTGGATGTAGAATTTAGGGCTTCTAGGGTTTGCGGAAAGCAAAACCTGAACTCTATACCGTCAAACCCCAAAAAACACCCTACCCCATAAACCCTGATGAAACCCTGAGTCCTAAAACCTCGAACGCAGATCCATCAACACACCCCAAGCATGGAGAGCCATTGCGCAAACAAATGCATGTCTAGATACATCTGAATACTGAACGGCCAATTCTGAGCTAGGATACCCTCCACCTTTAACCTCAGGCTTTCCCGACCCTAAAGCCAATCCTACTCATTTCATGTTTTCCGAGACCCTAAACCCAAAACCCCTGAACATCCCTGCACCCTAAACCCCCCGTTCTTATAACCCCAAACAGCCAGATCCCGCCGGGTGCTGTCCAAAGCCATTGCGCCGGGCTCGGCCAATGGTGCGTGGGCGGGAAGCCAATCCTGGTAAGAGTTAGGATTAAGGGTGTAGGGTTTATAGGGGTTCGTGACGACATTTTCCAACCTAGGGCTTGCAAGCCTTGGGGTTTAGGGGTTTAGGGTTTCCGGGTTCGTTCAGGGGGACCCTTGGGGATACAGACCCTCTTACTAAGGTCTCGTTTAAGAAAGCCAAAAGAGAAGGGTACCCTTGAGAGGATCTCGTAAGACCTGGCTCCCGGGGTTCGTCAAGGCTTCAGGGCTTCTAGAAAGTTCGGGAATTCTATAAGTCTGCCCGGGCCATTACAAGCCTCTACAAGCCTCTGACGATCCTGCAACAGAACCCTTAGAAAAGCGCTTTCTTCCGAAACATGTTTCGCATGTTGGAGACCAGGCTCCACAAGAAGCAGCTGCAAGAGTAGGTCCAGCTGCGCAGGATCACGGCTGCAAGACCTCCCGAGTTGCTTCGGGGTTTAAGCGGAGCTGTGTGGACTTGACATTAAGGCTCCCCGTAAGGGGGCTTGCTTTCTTCGAAAACGGGAGTTTCATAAGTCTTATCAAGTCTTTGGAGAGTGCTGGCATGGTTTTGGGAGGGTCAGTTAGTTTCTAAAAGGCTGCTGCAAGGGATTGGGGAACTCGAGGGTCCCTTTAAGGGTCCTTTAGAGGGTTTAAGGTTTAGGGATGGGGTTCATAGGGTTCCGTTAAAGGGTCGTACAAATATCCCTTTAAAGGTTCCTATAAGGGTGGGTGTTTCACGAAACGACGCCATAACGAAGGCTAGCTGAAGCTGGTCTGGATCTCGCGCTGGGTAAGTGCGTGTGGACAGCCCATAGAACCAGAGAAGGTTTGGGGTCAAGTGGGCTGGAGGCATCAGGCTTTGGGCCTGAAGCCCAAGCCTTTCGGTTCAGAAGATTTTACTGCCATGAGGATGGATGTCTTATTGTAGATTGTAAAATGTAAACACTTCTTTGATAAAGCCCTGGTCGTGTCTTGATCTGAGTTGTACTGTTCGCACATCAGGTTCCGAGAGGAGGGCTTGGCACTTCGCGTTTTGACCATATATGTGGCTAGGCTAGCGCATACAGACAGAGTATGTTCTCTGTGGATAGTATGAGCGTTTGTTCAGACCTCGCCAGGGCTCGTGATTGCCAATATTCTGACATCAAGCTTGCAAGTTCTGTTCAGTTCTGGAGCTTGCCAACCACCTTTCGCCCTGAGCCCTGCATCCTCGAAACTGCTGAAGAGCTTTGACCTCGAACACTACACCCTAAACTTCGAAGCCGACTCTACCACGAACGCGTCGGAGCTGTTGCTGGCACGCAGTTTCTGAAGTTCAGGGCTTAGGTTCTGGAGCTTTAGGACTTCGGGCTTTTGCTTTAGACTTTAGACTTTAGGGTGGGCCTTTCAACTAGTCCAATGTGTATCCGTGCGAAGACGCGCGATATCAACATCGGATAGCTTTTTCCGAGAACGCCTAAGTTGTCCAACAACAACCTTGCTGATTCTTCAACCCCAAACTCAAGAAACCGAATCCCAAAAGCGCAGACCCAGAGTCTCACTGACCACATCGCAACCAGAAATCCAAATCCCTGAGCCTTGAAACCGAAAACACAGAGATTGCTTGAAAGCCTTCAATCCGAATGGAAAAGCCTTAGTGCGTTTGGGATCGGTTATGTTATATTGGATTCTTGAGACACCGAGCCCCTGAACCCTATAAATTCAGAATCCGAAACCCTAATCCCGCATCCTAAATCCTAAACCCTGAACAGCCTCAACCCGAATCCTAAACCCTAGACACCCTAAACCCGAACGCTTAAACCCACCGGGGCCCCAAACGTGTAATGGATCGACCCAGGGTCTGTTGACCTCGGACCGGCGGGCTGGTTGTACTCGAGTTACGAAGCGAACATAGGGTTTACGGTTTAGGGGTGTAGGAGCTCAGGGTTTGAGTTTTAGGAGTGAGGTGTTTAAAAGTTTAGGGGTTCAGGCGTTTAGAGACTAGTAGGGTCTTATCGGGCTTGTTGAGGGTTGATAGGGGCTCAGGATGAGGGATTGTGAAGAGAACGTGTAAATCACAATGTAGACCCTGGATCTCTAGCAACCAAGATCCGGGTCGCGAACTCGTGATACGGTCTGTCGGATTAGGACAGAGGATTTCGGGCTTTTAGGGTTTATAAGGGCTTGCTGGAAGCAGGATCAAGGCCTAGAGTTTTGCAGCGAAGGCTTGTGGGGAGGTGGGCTGCGGCATTGCTACTCATATGCTCTTCCAAACACCTACATCCACGATCATCCTAAACAGGAAAACATGGTGGTCAGAAGAATCATTAATGGTCTCCAGACCATTATCATTCTACTAGATACACCCCAGGGCCCTGTTTTCATCATTAAGGGTTCCGCTCTGGGCAGCCAAACCATGTTGCTGAACTCTAACCTTGATCCTGAACAAAGCGGGGTAAGATCGAACCCTCATAGACCTGATAAAGAAGGGGCTTTAAGCTTAGACGAGGGTACGGGGATGTTTTGAACGATGAGCATCTCAGTGCTATAGGGGGAATGTTATTCAACTAAATCCGTATGCAATGGCCCTGAACGCCGCAGGAAAAGCCAATGTAGGCTCGTATTACTCCTAATTCTGGAGACCTTTGCTCAAAACAAGCCTTATTCTAACCCGTAACATAAGCCTAAACTGAAACTCAAACAGTTCTAGAAAGCTGCAGCCAGGATGCACAGGCCAGGATCCATCGCCCTGCCAAGCAACAGACTCGCCGTGTACCAAGGTTGGGGTGTAGAGTTTTACGGGGTTTCGGGGTGTCGGGTTGGAGGCTTTTTTTACAGGAGCTTTTTCCTCAATCGCGCGAGTAGGGGTTTAGGGCTAAAGGGTGGGGTCTCAAAGTGCAGGGCCAGTGCACTGCGGAGTCCCTTCTCAGGGAATCCAATGTGGCACAAGAATCCGAATAGATGGATTCCCAGAATGGCTGCCTTCTCGGGTCCTGAAAGCCTGTCGCAACAACCAAACGAACGCTGCAAGCGCAGTGCTTTCGCTTCAACTCCCTCACCGGTGCTCTGCCCCCCAATATCCAAGTAATAAAGCGTTAAGACTTTCAGAACACAACTGGACTCGCAGTGTAAGAACACCTGAAATCCAAAGCCTCCAAGCCTAAACCCTAAACGCTGACACCCCGAAAACCCTACTTCTGACACCTTTGTCTTTTAGCACACAGTGTCGGAGCCTCTGATTTTTCAATGCATTGGAAGTGCAGAAACGAAGAGTGAACCCCAACTTCCTTCCCCAAGGCCCAAACAAGAAAATGAAGATCTACCGACTCATGTCAATTCTGGCTTCGGGGAACACGTAGCCTGCAAAGCATTGGAGAGCTTGACCATGAGCATATCCCCTAAGCTGTAAGCCCCTATGCTCTAAACGCAACCCGAAACCTTCAATCCCTGAACCCAACACGCTAAGCCGCTAAAGACCCAAACCGCTAGGCAAAGGCCTCGGGTGCACTCGCGATGCCACAGAGCCCCGTGGTGGCATCGAATGCAAAGGCTCCACAGCCGGAGGACACCTCTGGCAAAACAGAAAGGGCTTGGAAACTCTATATAGGGCTTTGTAGAGTGTTATGCGGTGTCATTGAGTTATGTAGTGATGTCTTTGTACGGCCGAGGGTTCCCGAAACTCTAAACCCCAGGCCACAATCTGCGAGCAGGTTTTAGAACTACCCATGCGGATCTCATATTGCTGGAAGCAAACTTCCTACAAATTTTGTAGTGTTATGATAACGGGGTCCTGCAACGCATCCCCCGGAAGCCGCATCCCTAGCCTCGCAGTGGACAGCGCAAGCCCTGGCCGACCTCAACATAAATTGAAAGACCGCAAGCAGGCTTCGGATATGAAGCATTTAAGATTTGGAGTTTGGGGTACGCGGATTTATGCTCAAGGTGTCGCGGTTGTCGGTTGTAGCGCTTGGGGCTCCTATGTTGTACTTGAATTTAAGGTTTTCCAGGCCGTTGGACGAAGAGGCTTGTTTGCAACATGGGGGCTTCCTCATTCCGGATGTTTTTGAACAAGCCTCTGCGATTTGGGCCCCCCCAATTCCGAAAACTCAGCGGTCTCCCGTCCGGATTAGGGCTCAGGACCTCGGTTTTAGGGCTCATAGTTCAGGGTTGTTCGGGGGGTCCTTCAAGATTTCTGCAAAGGTACTGCGGACTTGGGCTTCTTTGATTTGCCGGTATTTACCGGTTAGCTTGGGCTTGGGATTCATGGGACGCCGGAGTACAAGGTTCTCAACACTTGGGGTCTCAGGTTGTGTTGTGAGTTTCGGCTTCGGGTCAAGCGTTGTCCAAGGGTTCTACACGGGTTTCATAAGGCTTCATACAGGCATTTGGCTTCTAGAAGAGTTTTGCAAGGATTTCATAGGTGAGTCTCGCGTTATTGCAGTTGGGGGCCAAAGACTCAAAATTCCAGGATTATCTTCGACAATTTGGGAGCAGGGGGGCGAACAACATTCATCTGTTTAAGTTTCAATGAAACCCGATACGCATTTAGATTCGCATTAGTCGTTGGGCGATGGGCATTTAACTTGCGCGTGCTGAACGTTGAGTAAATTTGAGGCTGGTGGATCTAGGGCTTCGGGCTCATACATAAGTAAAGGCTTGTTGTTTCGGAACCCACATCCCTACAAACTAAACCCTGAGCTTTGTACCAGAAGGCACAACACCTCAAACCAAAACCGCAACCCATAAACCCAAAAGACCCAAAATTGAAACCCCCAAATTCCTGATCTAACAACCGTAAACGCCATGTAGACACTTTACAGGCTATCCTATGATACCCTGCAGAAGACCTCTTTTTCAACCCTTAGAGCCAAGAGTCTGCTGAGGGATCGGAGACGCCAGTGGCAAGGGAGAGGGCATAGGATCGTAGCCCTGGGGTTCAGGGTTTGGAGTTGAGGGTACAGGGTATTGAAATTCAAAGTTCAGGGTTTAAAGGTCCGTTTCGGACTTTCAGGTTTGGGAACGGTTTAGGCGCGTAGGGTGGTTTGGGGCTCGCGGCTGTAGGGACTTTTTGGCTTAAAGTTCAGCGGCTGTTTAGCGCGGTAATGCTGTAACGCTTAGGGATCAAGGGTTTAAATTTCAGGGTTTCGGCTCATCTGAGCTGCTTGCAGGGGGATGTCGCCCGTTTGAATGCACGACCCATGGACCCTCTGTCGGCGATGTTCCCATGCGCCATGCTTGGCCGACAAGCATCCGAGCACAAGAGCAGAACATGAGAGCAAACAGCCGGAACACGGTCAAAGCCAGTTTAGAAATCCTGCGGCGGAATCGACAGTTCTAAGTTGGCTAACTCAGGCTCATCATGATCTACGTACCGGCAGTTTCACTCTCTGTTGTGCGTGGTCCCCTGCCGTACGAAGGGGTGAGCCAAACTCACCCTGTCCTGTAGCGATAGTTGTGACTGGGACCACTTGTGGAATGCTGGCCAACCCTGCAAAACCAGGTAAAACGCCAGTACAGAGCCTTTATAACTCCTAACACAACCCTCGGTCAACCTCTTGTATGCCTCTGGCATGATGGCCTGCTTGCACTTAATTGGACCAAGCCGCTCCGGCGGAGGGGAGACACACCCAGGTGCCAACAACTAGGTTTGGGGCTTGATAAAGGTTGAAGGCTACAATCTGTAGGTTGCACCGACACTCACTGCTTGTGGCAAGGAAGCCGAGATTACCCAGTAGCCCCTAAAAGATGCGGCACTGTTTCTCCAAAAGCTATTCAACAATAAGAGGAAACCCACAAAATCAGAGCGCAAACAGGACCACTGGGCGACCATAGCAGAAACACGAGTGTAATTTCCACCGGGAAATACAAACTCTACACCGCGAACGCCAAGGCATAGACTCGAAACCCCAAACCAGGAACCCTCCAGCTTAAAAATCTAAACCCTGCATCCTAAACGACTTTGGTCGGGGCTTAACGAACATAGTTTCCGTTCGCCGCGGCAAGGCTATAGAATGCAAGGAACTGGCTACGACACCTTCGAACAACCTTGTAAAACCCCTTGTCCTACAAATGTACAAAGCAAACCCGCCGTCAAAGCACTCAGTCTAGTAAAGAGTTTCAGACACTTACAAGCCAAAGCCTTCACAATGCCTTTGTCATCACTAAGGTCCTGGACCCCACAGGTTGATGGTTTAGTGCTTACTTAAGGCACCAGACAACATTCTCAACAGTGCCGTCGCGTTCACTATCCTGTAATGAAACAACTAGTCGTAAGGAACGCCCGGCCTCGGGACATTGCTGGACATATGGAGATGGAGACCTCTCGCAGAGACTGCAAAGCCCCGCAACTAACGACGAGAGGACGCTAGGCCGTAGAAGGATTCAAACTACGCTTTAATGAGGTATATTCCTTGACCAAGGAATAGACCGTGGAATTGAAGGACGGTCCCTATGAAGATTGAAATTCTATCCCTTGATTACTTCGCTTTGGAGTCTATGGTTTTGCCATGCGGGAGCAGCACGAATCGAAAATTGCCATCTGATAATATCTATCAAGCAAGCTACTGTAGCGGCTCATGGCTCGATGTTAGAGTTTCGGATTCAGGGCTTTCGGGCTTTAGGAATAAAGGGTTGGGGGTTAATTATTTTGGGATTTAGGGATTGAGGCTTTAAGGCACGATTTTTCGGACGCTGGGGTGCAAGGCCTCCCAGCAGCGATTTGGAGACGGATGCTGCTTACTGGTAGAAGACCATGACATTAGGGGCCTTAATAATTAGAAGAGGGTTTTGAGGTATAGTATGCTATAATCATAATAAGGAACCCACCAAACATATAGGTAAGTAATAATTGTTAAGGCCCCTATATTTGCCGACGATTGAGGCTCCCATGATACCCTAGGAACTTTGAAGGATTAGGGTTTAGGGTTGCAAGTAATTAGCGGTGCTTCTGGGATTTCTGGGCTTGAAGTTTAGGATCAGACTAGAAACGGCGACCCCGATGGCCCATACATCAAAGCGTAAACCTAAATAATCCTGCGCCCCGAAACGAAACTCCAAACATGGCGTCCCGCAAACCCCATGATGAAGCCATGTACCTGAAAGTATGGAGGAATGTAGTCATTCTGTTCTACTTGTGGCTTGGAGTCTCTGAGCTTTTTCGTGCCAATTGCAAGAACATTCCAAACCGCACATCACATCGAGGTCGGAAAGCAAAAAACAACGGATAAGTATGACGGGTTGACATCAGCAAGAGTAAGAGCAGCAAAACGAGTATGTAAGACTGTTGTCTTCTAAAACCGTCTGAAACATATTTAAGTACGCAACAAACGAATCCAAGACCCGTTTCTGAGTACTAAATTACTAAGGCCCTTGATACACTGCAAGAGCTCTTTCCAAGTACTGCAGGCCAAACACGTCGTTGGTGGCAAGGTTGTTGCCGTGACCTTGGCAGCAAGCAGCCTTTCACCCTGAGTGAGAAAGCCCGAAGCTCTATGAAGTGAGGATGCCATTGCGCTCCCTATACACGAACCACAGGATAGAAAGGGAAGAGCGACGCTTTTGCTTCTGCACTCTTCATCCGCGATACGTGAGAACTGGGCCTGTGCACTCCGATCGGGGCGCCATTCGTTGGTGTGAGAAATAGGGGTTTCCGTTTAAGGGGCCCGGTATTGAGTATCTCGGCATTTGGGGCACAGACTAGGCTTCCATTCGTGCGCTCCATTGATGCGCTGACGGGCACTGTGTGGTGCTTGAAGAGGGTGAAACAGTGGTCTAATATGAGAGTGGACAGGACAAAGCTAGTTGTGTTCGGGGGTGTCCTGCATCATGACCTGACATCCCGAATAGTCAATACCAGCCCAAAAAGACTGTAACCCAGCAAGGTTCAAGTGTTGGGCCTTGGACAGGCTGAGTAGCTGAGTATCACAACTGCTTGCTAGAGTGTGGCATTTGCGGCTCCACATCATATCTACATCTCCAGCCCTCCGAACCCGAAACCCGAAGCTTAAAACCCAACACCATCCCACCTCAGGGCATGAGGCAGCTCGGGTTCAGGGGTCCAGGGCTTAGGCATTTGTACAGCCTTCCCATAAACACGAGCCAGCAGCTGTACTGGTCCACGTGGTGGTAGAGAATCTTGTGATGGTGGTGCTTTCCCTCAGATTCTGAGATTGTCAGGGGCAGGTCTTTTTACAGGAACTGCGTCTAAGTTAGCATAGAGCATATCTGTCTGTCCATGTAACAATCACTCTTTCCAGCCATTTATCTAAAGTATCCTACATTCCTCAGCATCGCTTTAATCGTCAATGTTTCTTTTTTAAGCGAATCAAGGTTCACACGGACACCCCAATAAAAAGAAGAGTAACAGCATAGCACTGAGCAAAACTGGAATGCCTGTAGCTGCCGTGCCGTGGCAAGTAAAAGAATCGCCTCAATACGACACCAGGTTTCGGGCTTAGGGCCTAGAAGTTCGGCGGCGGGTCTTTTCAGAAAATGTGGCCAAAGGTTGCTTTTGCTTCTGGGGGCCCTACACACAAGTAGGTTCTGGTTAGTTCGATAAGGTCCATAATGAAGCACCCGGATGTCGGATGCATCTAAAACCTGTATCGTACCAGCTGCCAGCCCTCGGTGGTGAAAGAACATCGCGAATAAGCTCCAGAACTCCGCAGAACATACATGTGTAGGGCTCTTTATTCTGATGCCTTACATGGTAATTATATTTGGGGGGTTAAAGGATTACAGCCCCAAGAAAAGTGGAGCCCTCGCTCAGCCCTAAAAGCCATACTAAGGTCCGGTTCAATGCCTACTGTACTAGAGTCTCAAAAAACCCAAGGGGAACCTAATGTAGGCGCCTGAATAACTCGGATAGGGTTTTGGGCTCCTTTATAGTAGAGTTACAAAAGGGAACCCTGAGGAATAAAACTGGTACTTATTTAGGCTTCCATATTATGGAACCCTCCCCTAGGACTCCTGCATCTTTTTTCAGGAGCAGCATACCTTGAAGAGTATGCCAGCGCACCTCTCCGAGGCGGGTGACACAGGACCTAGAAACGGGAGATGTCCCGACAGTTCTGCTGTGGCCTCAGAACCCGAAACCTTCAAACTGCAAAACCTCCCGAAACCCGTAATATAGAAGCCGGAAAATGTGTATTTGGTGGGTCTGGAACCGTGCCCTAAACTAGCTTTTGAGGCGTCATAGCAAACTCCACAGCCCGGAAACCCCTGAACCCTGCAGCCTCACGTCCACTCGGGGCCCGCAGCGCGGCGAGGACTAACGGGGTCCACAAAGCTCAGACCATCCCCGGCCGGTGGATCCAAGGGAAGAAACCAAAGCCATGGGTTTGGACCCAAGCAAGCCTTCCTCGGTGTAGTTTAGGGCTTAGAGTCTAGCTACAGAGGGATTCAAGTATCTGAGGTTTGGGTTTAGTGCTCACGGTGAGGGTGTTTAGGGCTTTAGTGTGGTTTCGAGTTCTGAGTGGTTCGGCGTCTAGGGTATGAGATTTAGGGCTCCTGGGTTTTAGTTCGAGGGTTCTCAAATCGTTTTCGACGAGGTATCTGCGAGACCCTTAGGCAACACATGGGCAACATCTCCAACCGCCGCCTAGCTTCAGGTTGCGGTAGGGTCCGTAGTCGTACTTTGAGAATCGACCGCTCTGGGGACTGGCCACGGATGTCTGCTTCTCGCAGAACTCGATGGTCGTGAGACCCTTCATCATCAGCATCACCTTGCTTCCAATGCCGACGGAAATCAGCAACTTGCTTCAACATACCATCATTGAGCGCAAGAAGCCGACAAGCTCAGACTAAAACTATCCAAAATCTATATGTGGAAAAAGTCGCATGGAAGCCCGAGAAGAGCGTCAGAAGGAATCCCATGAATGCAGTGGTCACGAAGCAGAGCATCAGAAGGAATCTCTGCGAGATGGGCATGTCCTTACAGGGTTGTCCTGAAAAGAGTTCTTTATCCTAGTCCTCCAATAGTAGCCCTATGAGAATAGGGTGTGGCATGCAATCTATCTCAGTTCTTTATAGTTGACATCCAAACAGGACAATGTATACAACCGTGAGTTAATCCTTTAAGACGTCCATAAAGCCCGTGAAGCTGTTGTAAAACAGAGTAAGGCCATGACAACCCTTTCGCTGAAACGGACAACCCTGCGTCCTTATGCACTGACTGGAAGATCGTCTCCAAAATCGTGCCTCCAATGAAGATGCAACTCAAGAGGGAGTAAAAGACGAGCTGTAAGAAGTACCTTGGTTTGAGTTGAAGGTTTAGGGTCGTGGGTTTAAGAATCAGCTTTCGAGCAGTATGCAAGAACTGAATTGAATACCATAAGTAGGGTTCTACACGAATCCTACCGGCCCGGTTTTTGCAGGGCTGTATATGGGGTCTGGGACTCTGGGAGAGGGAAAACGGAGGGCTTGGGGTTTCAAAGAGTAAGTACATGTCTGTTTTTTGAAGAACTAACAACTTTTGATTCTTTCTTCCTAACCGGTCCGGAACCCTCAAAAGCCCATGAGGTAGCTTGAGGTGCTTGTGGTTTCTGAAGCCGACGCAGTTCATGATCCAGGGACAGTGGTGGTCCATCTTCAAGATGCAACACCTGCAAATTCCTCGGCTGCTCCAATCTTCGGGTTCATGGCTTGCGTTTCGGGTTTGGGGTTAGTTCTGGTTTAGGGACTGCGGTCATGGCAACGGCTTGTGTCGTGGTTTAGGGTGTTAGGCTAGGATTTGTGGGTTGGGTTTAGTGCCTGGACTTGTGAAACAGAGGTTTTGGACTTAAATCCTTTAAAGTTCTGGCCTCGTTGCTCTAAAGTACTACAGGAACGCAAGGAATCACAGTCCTGACAATCAGAGCAGGAACTTCCAACCCCAAATCCCGACACAGCTAGAGCCTAATCCCTTAAGCAGCCCTTAGGCCAAAAGCCGAGGCTCGACAATGGTGACACCTGTCCGGCTTATAGATGAGGCAGTGCTTGCAGCGGCGTCTCTCCCCCGTCCCCTTGACCTCACCTGGGTTTGATTGCGGAAGTTCCCAAATTGCGGAATCCCTGTCTGCAAGAAAAAATCAACCGTAGGATCCCGAAAGCACCCTAAGAGCTTAGAACACTTCGCAAACCCTAAACATAAAGACAAGGACACCTACCAAAATCTACCCCTAAGTTCAAGAAGCCCCACGTTAGAGCAACCACAACATCGGCTATGCCCCTAGAGCTGTAAAACAAAAACCAAAACAGTATAGAGCCGGCCTGAAAACTCTACGTTCAGGTCGAACCGGCCCTCCAAACCTTAAACGCCAAAGTCTGAATCCTAAACCCTCCTGTCGAATCACTGGACACCCCGTGGAACCCCGCAAACGTCCAATCACAGGTACTGTGAACCCTATATATCTTGAACATTCAACCCAAAACCCAAGTCATGCACCGTCTGGTCCCTAAACCCAATAAACCTACACCGCTCGATTGAATCATATGTCCTACAGTTTGGTCAAATCACTGGTCATGTTCGGGTCTTTGAAGGCTCCAAAGCGCCACTCAACGGCCTCGAGAACAAAGCGTTGAGCTTAATCGTTGATTCCTGTAATTTAAGGCTTCCTGTAAGGGCCCTTTACGGGTGTGCAAAAAAGTTCTATTTCGGCTGCAATACAATTAGACCACAAGTTTGGCGGGACCTGAAGGTCAACCGCAGTATGCGGAACTCCAGGCAACCCTGCTACTAAGAGACTTCAGATTCCGATTCTGAATTTAGTATGGGTTATAGGTCCGACAAATCCAGCCTCTGGGACAGACCCGGGTTGTGTCAAAGATGCCTTGGCAAAGCAAACCATCATCAGCCCGGACAGTACCTGTCACGATTTTGGTTTGGGGCTTCGGGTCGAAGTGGCGCTGCTTTCAACTGACTCTGGCTGGTCTCATATCTGCCAGTACTTGTCCGGATCCAGTTCAGGGTCAAGGGTTTCGGCATCGAGAATGTAGGGTTTTGAGCTCTTTCCACAGTGTCTTGAGTTCTGTGTCCAGGTCGGCAGCGGCTTTAAGGATCCTAGGGCGTAGCACTTAAGTCGTCATCAGTCCTGAGAGTACCAGTTGCCACAGACACGCACATTCACAGGAAATATAGTTGGTCCCGACACTGCCGGTCGGGTCGGGTTACGGGCATCAGCGGCGATCTGCACTCTCACCAATCTCTTGCTAAACATGCGCTCAACTCTTCACCCCAAGCCGGAAAACCCTGACACTACATCGCAATTGCTCGGGATCTCATAATCCCCACTGGGAGGCAACTGCAGGGCACAACGAAGGGTAATTGGGTCGCGGGGGTCTAGGTAAACCAGAAACTCCGAGCCCGAAAAGCCCATCTCACCTGGGAGATGAGAAAGTGAATCCATCCCCGGGAAGCCAGACCGGGGTCGAAGTGTTCGATGGGAAAGCCTAACTGTAGCCTCAGCTGCTTAAGCTTCAAGGGCTCCGAGGATTTAGGGCTGAGGACTTTTGGCGAAATGCTGTCGGTGTGACTTCAGGGACTATGAGGGGATACTATAACTAGTGATTCAAATCCCGAGACTACCAGTCAAAACCATAACGTTTACCAACTCAACGAAGAAGTAGCTGCGGAAGGAGATGCAGGAAAAGGTAGATCGACCAAACGCCAGAGACCATGGTCAGCACTGTCATCGGAGGCAGCAGGCTTGCCAGGGTCGTCTCAAAAACCGGCTGCATTTCGCGGAGTCTCGCCGGACCCCTTGTCCTGGGCTGTTCCTGCTGGCCTTAAAGAATGTAGCACTTTTCGATTCTTTCTTCACAGAATTTAACTTGCTAACCAATGCCAAAAAATTGCACACAATGTTCAAGAACAGCCTGGTGTCCAGCAAGAGCTTCAGAGTAGTAGTAAGAATGAAATTGGCAAGCAACGGCCCTCGGTGCTGGTCGAGGACACTAAGCCATCGGCGAGATCAAACGACCTAAACGACCTTTGTTCAGACCCCACACGTTGCAGAAAATGCAGTACTTCCGCCTAAAACCCGCATCCCCGAGCCCCAAATCTCTTGTCTTGTGTGTGTGCTGGTCTAATGGGCCTGAATGATCCCAGATGCCTCAGGAAGCAGCGCAACTTCAGGCAAGCTTTTGTTGTGCATACAAGGTTTATGGGATGCATGTGCGGGTTGTAAGCCGGTCTTACGAGGGTCTTTGTTGAATACGTGCCGTTAGACAGGGACTTGGGGTGTGCCATTAACTTAAGGTTCTGGGCTGCTGATAAAACTTCGTCTTGCTTGGTGCCCTTGGCATTCTGCCAATTCCAACTGCCTCCAAATGCCGCTGACAGCAGTAGAAATACACCGTAAGCCTTGCACACCTGTGGTGAACTGACGAGAGACAAGAGTCTACGACGACGTCATCTGCAACTAGTTTTGGGGAGATGCAATGGCCGACGGACACTGGATCCTAATTCCTAATCCTCGCAATCTGACCGTATAACGGCAGTTCAGAATTTGGCGTCTAAGCATTCAGAGGTCTAGTGCTTGCAGGCTTTAGGGAAAGGTTTCAGGATGGTATAGGCTTGGTTGTTTGGGGCTCAAGAGCTTACAAGTTCAGGGGGTTGGTGGTTTATAGCTTCGGGAGACTACGGCTCCAGGGCCTTCTCATCTCTTGAGGCTCAAGCACATATAGCACTCTCATTATTCTTGTTGTTACTATTATTCGTTTCATTATTGTTGCCGGAGTTGCCGGTATTTGCACTCATATGACTACACTTGTGCCCATGGCGCAACCTCTAGGTATCTATACCAGGGAGACTTCGGCTCTAAGCACATTCATAGTTGGACCACAACTCCCTGTAACCCTCATGTTTGCACGAGGCCAATGCCTAAAACCAAAACCCTGAAACTTCACGAGCTCAGGCTTTAAACTCGAAGCTTCGTCTTAAACTGAGTACCTCCCAGACGCAAAGCGGAGCAAATGCAAGTTTGCGAACTCCAGAACAGTACCAACTTGCAAAACAACAAGTCGAAGCGGTTTAGTATTCTTGTGGAAAGGTGAAATACACCTAGCGGTGCGTTTTGAAGCCTCACAAATCACGACTGCTCGAATGTAGTTCATTCACTGCTTATATAACCAGTTTTGGTGAATATCTTTAACATTTAAAGCCAAAGACAAAACCCTAACACAACTAGACGCTAGGATTTGGCAGCCCGAATCCCTTAATCCGCACGCCCTCGTAAACCCAAAACCCCACGCTCTAGGATGCTGTAGGTAGGACCGTCAGATCCTTGAGTCAAAAATGTGCGAAAAGCGGCCCTGTCCAGGTTCGCGTGGTCGTGGAGGTAGGGACGTAAGCTTGGAGCCTCGCGAGCCAGTCTTGAGGCCAGTTCTTCGAGAATGAGGGTCTTGCTGTATGATACAAACGTTAAGATGCATTATCAGTATTTCGCTTTTTTGGTGGAGGTGGGAGGCGCTTCATTCTGCCTGGTGAGCACTGCTGAAGACCCGGCATCAATAGCTTCAATTTTGGATTTTTGCATCTTTGGCTCTGAGGGCTAGGTCCTAACAGTCATGGGATCAGATCCCGCTTCTTGTTTCGATCTGGGATCGCAGTCGGGGCTGGACTTAGTGGCTTAGTGTTCCGTTTGGGGATGCCAGCACCTTCACATGCAGCAGGATGCCTGTAAGGGTTCCGCCAAGGATTACAGAAATTCTCGGGCTTGAGGCCTCTATAGGGAGGGTTAAGTGCTTCGGGCTATGGGGGTCCAAGCAGGTAAACAGAAACTATATACGCAGCTCAAACCCGTAGCTACCTGAACTTATTATATGATCTTATACTATAGCTCCAAGCCCCATGCCCACCAGATAGAGGCCGGTACACCGTAATTAGAGGGCACATCTCTCAAAATAGTAAAATGCTTGGAGCTACAAGGTTCAATCCTAGGACACTGTCTGACCACTTGCACACCTTTGCGGTGACCAAGTCAAGTTTCCTTAGCTCCTACCCTCAAACCGGAGTAAAACTCATTGATGCTAACAACCCTAAACCGGTAGACCGGAAACCCCGAGATCTGAACCCCTTAACAACCTATAGGGGGCCTGACATTATTGCGGTTTCAATATTATACTTGTACTCCTTAAACCTAAACCCTCTACGATTCCACGATTCCCGGATTCAGGAGCCAGCAAACCCGAAACCGGAAGCCTCAACCCCCTGAAACCCTGAGGCCTGGATCAAAAAGCACCGATCGAGCGACAAAAAACTAATAGGATAAGTTCTGGAACTTAGGGCTTTAGGGGTCTATCTTAACCCATAGATGGGTAGGATATCTTTCCGCAGGCGTTGTTTTTGCATCCTGAGCCCTGCAAGGGCACCGGAAACTCTACTAGAGGCTCTAGAACCCTGCCCGTTGAAGGTGTTTACTCTTGAGCCTGGATCCTTCGGCCTTACTTGCGGCACGAATTTGTACTCGAAGGCTTCTGAAGCTCTTCTGAACGGCTTTGCGGGCTCTAGGTCTGCGCTTCCGATTTATAGGGTCGTATTGGGTGTTAGTTATAGGGCTCTATTTCAACGGCTTCTAAAGGGCTCAGAAGGTTTGCATAGGATGCTTATGGGCACTTAACGATGCAGCCTGGAATTACAACTCCCTACACCAGAAGCCCTGAGAGGCTTTTATCGGGCCATGAGCTTCCGGCATAGTCGTGGTGGTTGTCATGTAGCACCTGGGAGGCATCGATCCTTCGTTTCGGTCGTCAGTTGTTTAGGGTCTAGAGCTTGGGATTCGTTTGAAAACGGCCGTGTCATAGAATGTGTCTGTTGCTCGCGGGGCTCTGGCTTCAGTGCTGCACACGTTTGCCACGAAATGCAGATTTCTAAACAGTCACATATGCATAGGAAACATAGGTGGATATAAAACCATATGTGTTACAATATATATATATATATACACATACATATACAAGTACCATACACAAAATATATACACATTGTATATACACACACACTATATATATATATATATATATATATATATATACACATATGTTGTGTGCTACCCCCCCCCCCCCCCCTGTCCCCGAAGAACCAATCACGTAATGTGTACGCATCCCGTCCCTATAACAGTGCGCTATAAGATTCGATTCTCCCAAACCCTCTTCTAGTCATTCAGGACGCCTTGTCATAGGAGGGCCGTGCTCGGGATCTGAATCTGGGCTTGTGCTTAGAGGCTTGAAGGGGCCTGGTAAATACAACTGGGGTGGTATTTTGGGGTCTAGTGTTTACGGCTTTAGTTGGTAGGGCTTTGGGATGAGGCTCCGGTAACATAGTAAGTAGGACTAAGTAGGTTACAGGTAAGGCTAAATACAGGGTAGTCCCTATCAGGGTATTTTTGACCCCGAATACAACCGATGCACTATCCTTGAAGTTACAGGGTTCAGGGCTTCCGGGAGTCGTATTGGTACTCTATATGTCAACGCTCCTATACTATTCTGACAAAATATTTCAAGCAGTTACGGAACCTTTGCTAGACGTTTATGTTGATGCTGGTTTATGCTGATGCTCATGTCGCCTTCGTCTTGCGTTAAAGCTCGGGGCTACTAACTTCTGCTCGCCTTCACGGGAAGCAAGCGAGATTTCTCCAGCGTGAAGTGGCTGGGGTGAGCCGTAAAGCACAAACCGCAAGCATAATTACCTCAAATAGTCAAGCCCGAAGCACCCAAAACCCTAAGCCCTGCAACCCTGCAACCCCTTAAGCCCCAAGCTCGCTGGGTAAGGGCTCAAACGCCTAATTATCGCGGACTCACTCAAATACGACGATCCTACATGATATTGTTATCCTAAAGCCAGATACCTTACTATTGGACCCTTGTGCCTGCAAAAATCGCAAAAAGCGTCATAAGCCCTAGAAGCACTTTAGAAGACCTTGACAAACAACTCCAAGCCCCGGAAACCCATAAAGCCTTAACTTTCCGAGGGCAGCGCATTGACTCCCGGCTGCAGCGGCACCACCGGCGCAAAGTGGTGGAAGCCCGGCCGTACCTCACGAGTAACCCAAGTAATACATTTGGGTTGAAGGTTGAGTTCAGGGGCCCGAATACCGGGATTTACGGAGGAGCTTTTATACTTCAACATGGGCTTATAACATTGCAGCTATGATGGGATAACATTCACCTAAACCCTAAAGCTGTATCTAAATCATTAATCCGAACTTTCTTTCACTGGACTCTGCAGCTCAAAGCCCTGCGACGGTCATAGGAATAAAGAACTCCACTGCTACTCAATGCTAGCAGACTGCTGTCGTTGTCACTACTACTGCTAACTACTACTACTGCTGCTACTACTACTACTCTACTACTACTACTACTACTACTACTACTACTACTACTACTACTACTACTACTACTACTACTACTACTACTACTACTGCTACTACTACTACTACTACTATATACTACTACTACTACTCCTACTACTACTACTACTACTACTACTACTACTACTACTACTACTACTACTACTACTACTACTACTACTACTACTACTACTACGACTACTACTACTACTACTACTACTACTACTACTACTACTACTACTACTACTACTACTACTACTACTACTACTACTACTACTAAGCACCCCTTCCAACCACCTGGCGCCGTAACCCATCATCATCATCATCAACGAACATGACAGCTGCAGAAGATGCAGGGGCTCAGGCCCCCCTATCATATGACAGCTGCAGAAGTTAGCGAGGCTCACTTGCCTTAACTGTCACAGGGCTCAGGCTCCCTAAACTCCTAAACCGGCCAGATGAAATATGCTGACCCTCAGGAATGCGTAGGGTTTGTCGGTTCTAGATTGTGGGATTTCAGGGCATGGGTCTAGGGTAACGAAACTTCTCAGGAAGAGGATCAAGAACCCACACATGCGTTTGTAGGTATGCTTCCTAATGTAAGCAGCTAGCCAAGGTGACAGCAGTAGTATAGGGGCCGTAATAATTCGAATGGGGTTTGGGGCCTCCCATATAGTATTGGGCATTATTCAGGCCCATATACTACACCCCCATAATACTCATTATAGTAACCCTAATAGGACCCTCTTTCAGAACCCTCTAAAGGAACCCTATATAGGCCCCCAGATAGTATGTGAACGTTTAGAGCTTGCAGGCGTTGCTCTGCCGGGCTTGGCAATGGAAGGCCGATGGAGGCCTGATCATCCAACCCTGCTGAAGTTAGAGTTTAGGGTTTAGGTTTTAGGGTTTAGGGGGGGTGACGTCAAAGTTTTACACCTGGACCTACTTTTCACATACTTACTAGCCCCGTCAGCCCCTCTGCCCCCAAAGGCACAAGACCGTTGAAGCAGCTGGGGCCACAGCTCCATGAACAAAGCCGTGCAGGAGATCCGAGCCGGCATGCCATACGTACCTGCCCAGAAGAGAAATACTCTTGGAGCAAAGTATAATACACGTGGAGCACTAGCAGTAACGGGAGGTGGCAGGTGGGCGGGAAACCGAGTGAACCGCAAGTGCCCTAATAAGCACAATACCACACCGCACCATCTCACAGAACTATTAGTATCGACCGAACCGGCCAATGACAACCCTGATAAACCAGGAATCCAAAACCGCAAAGTCCTTATTCCGATAACCCTAGCTACCCAACCGGAACTACCTCTAAAACGAAATCCCGAGACCCTCTCGCATAACCCTACATCTTATACACCCCAGTTGACGCTGACTCCAGAGTGCCATCATTCCTCAGCCCAACTTCAAAACCCTCACAAACCTGCGCCTTGAAGAAAAGTCGGAAAACAATGCGGCGCTTGTGGTGTAGGGTTTCGGGTCTGCAAGTTTAACGCCGCGCACCTAGGCACCAGCCAAAGTTTCTCGATTCTCGGTTGGTCTCCTGGGCTTCATCAACGCTTCGGCGGCAAACCAGGGAGAAGGCTTGGCTAAAGAGTTGACAGTTTCGGGTGTACTGCTCTCTCGCTTCAATATCTGGACCTGGGCTTCTTGAGGGAATCAGGCAGAAGTGCTGCCTTACTCCTCAACACCTGATGCCGGCCAGTTCGGCGAGTGGAGTTGTGCAAATTCGATGGATGGGTAGCTTACGTTGGGCCTAGGCCTCCCTTCCTGTCTCGCGTGAAGGGCTTTCGGAGTTGGGGCTTCAGGGGCTTAGGTTTGGTTTAGGAGATAGGTTCAGAGTTTTAGGCTTCAGTGATTACAGGCTCTAGGACTCAACCTTCATTTGCGGAAGCCTTGGCCTTTGGGGCCGTTAAACCTGCAGTGCTGCTGAGAATTGAAACCCTTGCTACTCCTCAACCTTCACAACAGAACCCTGACCCGATCGACCCACAACGTGCAGCCGAAGGCAATTCCGAAACCGTACATAGATGCTCGAATATTAGATGGTCAGAGGACCCAGGTAAGGAGGTTATGGGTAGCTAGGACCTAGGATAACGCCAGGTGCAGGCTTGGACCATCTATTTATCCTCTGGATAGGGCCCTGCAACACACGCTCTTAAAACGAAGCTTACCAAGCCCCTGAACCCTAAACCCCATGAAAACTCCCGCTTCCCAGAATCGAAAGCCAAGGGGCGAAGCCCGGCAAGGCGTCACCAAACCAAGTTCGGCTGTCGCGCTGGCAGAGAACCTTGTCCGCTACTGCAGGGGCCCTAATAGTTAGAATAGGGTGTGGGGGTTATTATACTATAGCGAAAATCAGGAACCCACCAAAACCCTGTTCTGGCCCCTACAGTAAACCCGCAACCCCTTCGGGTTGAGGGTTTTGTGCTGAATGTTCGTAGGTTTGCGGGGGTTGGGATATTGAGGACTCCTTCAAGAATTGCTTGGGGGATCCTTAAACTAGAGGTAAGAGTTTCGATGAGTGTTTTAACTCCCGGTTTCCCTGTAGCTTAGGTTATGTTCTTTGGGGCTTAGGGGTTTCAATGTTTGTTTAGGGTTTAGGGTTGAGGGTAAAGGGCTCAAGGGTCAAGATTAAGGGTTTAGGGTTTGGGGTTTGGGGATGGAGGAAGGGGAATCCGGCTTCAGTACTCCGGGCTTCGGGTCTAGGACACAAGAACGCAGGATTTGCGGATTCTGCGGGCTGGCTGGTCGAACGTACGTTTCCGAAAATGGGGCCGCTGATATAGTACCCTAAATAGTCGGATCCTTATTATAAGGCCCCAAATTTTCGGAAACTCCCAGACGGTTGGATACTTGGGTTTTTGGAGTGTATTTACGCATTAGGACTGTTTTTGAGGGAGTAGGCAGTTAATCTTGATTCGTACTTGGGGAAGAATCTTGGTTACGTGGAGCCTTAGACCAGTGCTCAAAACAGAGATCGGAGTCTCCCCTGCAACCATCGGGCCACACCCCCTAATGTCAACGAGGTCTAGTTTAAAAACCCAGGGTTATGTTCGACTTGTATCATGCTAAATAGCCTATACCAATGTATAATCAGCAAGAAAATCCCGCAGAGTGGCAGGATTGTTGCACCCGACACACCCTGAAAGACCTTCACAAGCCCAACACTAAACCCGATGAGCCCTAGAAGCTCTAACCCCTCAACCCTAGATAAACATAGATAAACCCTCGTATATCCGAGCGAAGCCCAAACTGACCGTCGAGCCACGCGCTCTTCTGCCAAGACGGAGCTCTGGAAACTTTCCTCAAACGAGTTCTCGTGATGAGACGGTTTTAGGTTCGCAAGGGTGTCAGGGTTTCCGGTTAAGAGTGCGGGGACTTTGAAAGCGTTGTAAGGTGCTGTGCTGTGGGACTGTAAGGCGTTGCACGGATATAGGGATATAAACATCTATAGGGTTTAGGGCTTTGGGTGCTGGTTATTCTTGGGCAGATTGCGGGTATAAGTCTTTTGAGGGGCGTGTTCGTCGTTTAAAAGGCTCTTCTGGGAATGCTGCGTCGCTAGAGTTTAGGGATTGCAGGTCTTGGGATTCGGAGTCTAACGTTTCGAGAAATACATAAATTTCACGTTCAAGAGGACAGATTTAGGGTTTAAGGCTTGTGGCTTCTGTTTTGGAGTTTGGGGTTGAGGGTTGTTACGCTGGCATGATTTACTGAGTTTGCCTCTGACACATCTGTCCGTCGAGTCCGTCGGCTGCGGGGATTTGGTCTGCAAACGTTGAGAGTTCCGCGTGTCGGCTTAGGGACGTGAGGCATAAAGGATTTCAGGTCCAGGGTTTAGTTCGAATGGAAGGCCTAGGTTGGGATATAGGGTTTGTCAGTGTGCCCAGTTCTGCAATGGCCTAGAAACAAAGGATTCCGTTCCAAGGCTGTACAATTTCAGAACTTTCCAGGGGAAACCCCAAATCTGGACCAGACGACCTCCAATTACAAACCTCAAACTGACGGGCCTATAACATGGCTCGAACAACTAAGCTCATTGCCTGAAGCCTCCGAGAGAAAGCAAAAGCGTCCAGTACTCCAAAACATACCTTGAGGCATCGATACCAACAGCCATTTGGGGTAAAGACTTGGGAACATGAACACCTAAGTACTGGTTGGGTACGTAGACCCTCTTGGGGACAACCCACGAAAACCCTGAACCACCTGTTGACAGTCTGCCGAACGGCAAAAGTGAATCCGTCGGCCACGTTGGGATCGCAAACACCCTGGCGAGACCGTGATCGGGGCTTCCCCTGATATGTCTTATTCTAGTATACTAGATTATATGATAGTATATCATATGATAGTATATTATATAATATTACATAGGGATTGGGTGTTTCAGGCGCTCCGAGGATCTTTGCGCAGTGGTAACGTTTACTGCATTGCTGAGCAGATGAACCCCAAACAAGCCTCTGGATCACATCCCATGAGATGTGTATAGTATGGATCTTCTCATGACATATGTTTAGGCGTCATTTGGTCGTTACGGTAACAAGAGCTGAAACAAAAGCTGATGGGTTTCTGGAGGATAGCTAAAGGATAGCACTCTATGTAAGGTTTAGATGTGAAGACTCAGTGTGAATGTAATATACGACCAGAATCGTTAGACTAAGTTTCGAGCCTCAACCTCCGTGACGCCATGGGATGTGAATTAGTTCAATTGATGTAGGTAGGCTGTTGGCAACAGTCTGGCGCCTATCTGGGCGCTGAGTCGATATGGATATGGATATGGATTCGGGCATCTCGAAGAAGGGATAACCAGTGCTTTATTCATCGGGTTCCTACATCAGCCTCGCCCGCGAAGTGAAGAGTTGTTTGTGGTCTTTTCGACGGGAACCCCACACGAGCAGTCTATAAAACACAACATCATGTTGCCCCTAATGGCAGCCTCGCCGAAGCACTCGGATGCCCTTGAGTACGTCACTAATGGCTTCGCTATGTCAGCAAGCCTGCAACCAAAGATTCCAACACCCATACTCACACATGTTGTAGGAATTATTCTGAACAATGACATACATTCCTGAATATTCCATAACGAAAAGTTTTGGGGCCTTTGGACGCAAAACTCGCTGAGCCCAGGGACAAAACTTGCAACCATAACGAAAGTATCTTGACCGATCGATGCTATCTTAATTAAGGGATCACGAAACAATACCAACTCGGGTGAAGGTCTAGGACCCTAGGATTGAAGATCTGGCAGAATGATCCTGAAGCACTAAGTCCTCTACATAAAAGCCCTGCATAAAATATCCCCATCAGGTTACTCGACGGCAAACTCAATAACAGGATGAATAAGGAAACTCACGGCTTTAAGCATCTGTTCGATCCTGTTTGCTTCACCCGTAAGACCCTCCTACACTCAGGGTTTTACGTTTCAATTTTGGCTTCATGTTCTTGGCTTTTGAATTTGGGGAGTATCAGTACGGGCCCGTCAAGCTTGGAGGGTCCGTGGCATTTCCACCAACTACTGGACACTGGCATAAGTAACCTTGTTTTGGGACTTACACCCGGGCTACGTACGTTTTGTTCAACTCTCTCAACCCTATAAACCTAAACCCCAAAACCTCACACCTAATTAACTAATTTTTTGCTGGCTTGTCCCGATTCCCGATGCCCCTTTCACGATTGGCGCGAGCATGGGTTGTAAAGCCCCGAGACTGATGATGCTGTGCTGCAAGCACATCACACAAGCGACAGTCAGGCAATGGCATAACATGCAGCCCACGCATGCTCATGGCACGCGCTGAACTCCCTGACGGGCGCGGTGAAACAACTTCTGCAACCATCTAACCTGAATCCATTCTTTCCAATCACTGGAGTTAAAGGTCGGACCGGACGTCATTGCCCCACACGTCTCAACATCAAACGAGCCCGCTCCCAAAACAAAGGCGAGGAGGGAGGCTGGAACAAGGTAAGGCTTTGAGAAGAAATTCTGGCGAGCAGCGCGAGCAGCGGTGCAACCACATTCTGAAACCCCAACGGCTGTGCAGCGCCGGGCACTGCTTGCCACCCTGAGTGTTCCCAGATCGTCTTCGAGGTGGGGATGGCATATAGGAGCACAGCCCCACCACCTTCACGAACCGACGCGCCACGCACAATATGACATACGGAGTGCAAGTTGCCTGCCCACACACACAGCCCGAACACTTTATTGAACGCATTTCGCACACTCGGAACAAAGCCAGCCTTCCACGCCATCTGCACCTGTGAATTGTTGCATGTCTTATTGGCGAAGCCGCACCCCTCACGCACCACAGCTTTCACCTCACCGACTGCAAATTAAATTGAAAAAGTCTTTGAAGCCAACCACTGTTCCGAACCTTCAAACCCTAAACGCTTTGTTTGAATTGCGTCTCCCTTCTTCGACCATGAAAAGAGGTACAGCCGTCAAAGCCCTCCAAGATTCTGCAAAACTAGTTAAAAAGTCCAAAAGGCAAAACGTAAACTCTTGGGGGAACCTTTAGGCGGAACACCAAGAAAACTCCAAACCCGGAACTCCGGCCTCGTATCGGGCGCAAGTCTCGTTGCAGTCGGCCCCCGGCGGGCCCAGGAGGTGATTCCAGCAGGCCAGTTCCGATCTGAGGCTTCGAATGAGGTGCCTTCATAATTAAACTAAAGTTCCCTTCATAGTGCCAAAAAAATCTCAGGATACGATAATGTAGGTGCCTTAATGACAATAATAGTAACAATAATAGTTAATACGAATAATAACAAAATATATTCATAGTAAGGAAAACAAGATAGAACAAGGCTCTGGTCTCCTTTATAGTACAGTCATAATAAGGAACCCTAAGGAATAATATTGGCAATCATTGTAGCCTATATAGTATGAGGGTGTATTGGGATTCTACAAGTGTCCCGGGTTTGGGTTCTCAGATTAAGGTTAAGGAGTTGGGGTTCTATGTGGTTGTAGAAAACAGTTCCTCTAATTGTTCCCTACATTACATGTTCTCTACGTTCTAGTTCGTTTTTTTAGGCGGTGAAAGGTTTTTGGGGTGTTGGGGCGTCTCTATAGGTTCTGTGCTGATGCTTTTAAAGTCTTGGCATGTTGAAGGTCATTTCAGGGATTCCGATGCTTCTGGGAATTACGGGGCTTTCAGGGAGTTTATCGGGCTTCAACAAAAGCTTCATTTGATCCATGCGTAACTCTACTAGAGTTTATAGCTCACTAGCTGGAAGGTTGTGCATTGCAGAACTACATTAGGCAATCGGGAAGGCGAATGTGTAGGCAAAGAGCCCTCGCTACTCGTTTTGCCCAGACCCCGCCCAGAATAAAGCACCGAAGCCTGAAACTCTTAAACATCTAACCGTCGCAACAAGCCTTAAGCAAAATCCGAGACTGTGATATCACCAAATTCTTACCCCTAAATCCGAAGCCCTCGTTAATCCACTTAATAGCCTCAAAGCCTCAAACTGTTCAGTTATCCTGGACTCCACAGCTACCTTCAATTCAGCAAATGGCAAATGGCTGACGAACATAAGAACTGCATTAAGGATAACTTGAGCATTAAGCCATGATGGTCTTTAGAATTTTCTAATCAAGCTCAGACACACTTTGAAACCCAAAGACCACATGATTGAAATGCCTTGCTTTCGGGACTTTCGGGTTGAAGGGGTCGAAGGTTTACAGTTTAGGGTCGCATCTCGAGTCCTAAAACGTTTAAGTCCTATAAGCCCAAGACGCCCACGGATAGTCCAATGACCTATATAACAACCATATGCTCCCCTAAATACTAACATACCTATTGATATTAGCACGATCCATCCTACGCATATAAATATAAGGTCGTCTTGACATTGAAACTTTAAACCGTTATGATAGAACCGCTGTCTAATAAAAACTATAACAGCCCAAGTTATGAGGCCTTACGAGCCCTTTAGTATACGCTAAGGGGCAGTGTTGAAGTATAGGTGCTCGTGCTGGTCCACGTAGTCGTGCGCGTAGACGTTTGAGGCCTCAATCGGGTCTCATTCAACACCCGTTGACCCGAAAGAAAGCAACTTTGACGGCTTTAGTGCTGAGGTCTTAGAATAATATATTGTGCGTGATAATATACTCCGGCGTGTTGAATTTTTACATTCGCGTCTGAACTCGTGGACATACAGTCTGGACAGCAGACTGCCACTGTCATCGTGTTCCAGATCCACCCAACAGGATTTGGCAAGGCCGCGGGCCGTGTGGCGCCGGTGTTGGAAGCACTGCATCGGCGTTCCCAGCGACTTCATAACATATCATCGTATAAATAGTAGGCTCTGCCCCCAATGCCTTTGTCTCAGAACCGGATCGGCGTGGGCACGTGACCACAGCTGGACGTCTGTGTTGGCCCGAACCAACGAGTATTACCATGGACGTGAATGTCCGATCATCTACGGCAGGCCGTTTTGTGGGTTCACAATGATCGGAAAACAGAACTCCATCAAAGAGGTGCCAGCCACAGTATGACACAAAAAACAGATTTCGAAACTCGATTTGTCGGGGTCCCTATGGGGGCCTACTGCAAGAGGGCTTATGATACTTATCACGCAAGTGTGAACTGAGTACGTAGCTGCAGGTAAATTTGGGAGGTTTACGGTTGAGTTTACATGGTCTGAGATCAGATTTGAAATGCCAACTTGAAAACCCGACAGCATCCGTAGCTCTAGCTTTCGTCGAAAAACAGTCCCACGCTGCCTGTCCACTTGTGTTGAGCTGTGCCAAGCTCTGCTCTCGGGAGGGAAGGGCTGCGAATCTGAACCCAAGAAGCCCGAACTCTTCAAAACTTCAGGGTTAAGGTTTTTCTTGTGTTTGCAAGGCTTAGTGTTGAGGCTTTAATCTCCAATTTTTTCAACATTCAGCCTTCAAAATTAAAACGCCTAGCCCTACAAAACCTACAACCTCAATCCCAAGCCCCCGAAACCCCAAGCCCTTAGGAGACTTGCTTTCCTTTCATTGTAAGTCGGGTTTCAGCCGGCGTTCGGTGTCGCCATCGCCAGGCCCCTGCGGTCAGCGCGCGAGATTTACGCAGCTCGGATTCGCATAAGGATGGGCTTCATAAGACGTTACATTCTTGGTGCGGTTTTTCATGCTTTAGCTCTTTAAGCCACGAAAACGAAAACCACGAAACTCTAATACTTTTCAAACCCGTAAGGCTCCAAACCAAAACCCCGAAAGCCGAAGCTTTAGACCACAAACCCTGACCCTATCCAAACCCCTCAACCCGTAAGCCCCTAAACACCTAAACCTTTCAACCATTGAAGCCCTTCGCCGTAAGCCCTACACCCCAAAGCCTTAAACCAAATGAAGCCGAAGCTTGAGCCAAGCGAAAAAGCAAATCATAATTTGCAGCCGAAACAAATGTGGCAGAATCGAAGCACTCTGGCTTTAGCGAACTTGCGACAGCAGCAAATTTAAAGACTACCCTTTTATTGCCGGCACCAGCTACTCCCAAGAAGACGGATCAAAGCCGCGTGCTTCCCAGTAGCTCTCCTTATCGCCAGCAGGGTCTACACAAAGGACTCCGCCACCGTTGCGGCGCAGCCGGTCCTCCGAGCACGTTTGGTGCATGGACCATGCCACGACAAGTCAAGAACCAGTGAGTGCTGCTCCAGGCCTGCGAAAAAGTCCCTGGCGGCACCCTGCTTCACAGCGCCGCAAGCAAGGGGCACTTTGGTTGCTTGTTGTTTTGGCTGCCAGACCAGCCCATGGAGCACATCACCGCTATCACCATCAAAAGTGATGGAGATGCGGGATGTGTCGAAATCTGCGTTCAGGCACCACGTGGCGTGCTCAGTTGCTAGGCGTGCCTGGATGCAGGCTAAAATTAAAAACGTCGCTTCCGTCATCCCAAGCGAACACCGGGCCCTACCGGTTAGGTTGTTGCTGCGGGAGATGGTAACAACTCGCCATGCCTCTGTCTCGGCTGTGGCCTCCTTTGTCGCGAATGTGCCAACAACGACTTCCCCAGAAGCTCCTCGCCTGGAGGTTGCGAGGCACCTTTGCAGTCAAATTTTGTTGTGGAGTCACGTTCAATCTGCGGTATACTATACATTACAATATATACATATACACTGCACGAAGACCGCCTACACCCAAACAGGAAAAACCAGACAAACACCAAGCAGGCGTGACGAATGCCCTCTGCGTGCCTGTGCGTCTCGATGGACTTCAGGGGCGCTGTGCCCGCGCCACAACCCTGGCGCTCGGGCGCTATGCCAAGGCACGGGTCGCCGAAGATTCACGATCGGTAGATGAAAACGAGCGACCGCTGCATGCGTAGAGCCCAACGTGCATAAGAGTTTATTCAGGCGTGCCGCACAGGAAACCACGGCAAACACAAGCATAATCATGGCTACCAGGAAGAAGGACATGGAGGCCTCCCGAAAACAAAGGGAAGCGTCGTGTAGCTAAGGCCGGTCGCTGGAGTGTCGTGGCGCAAGGCCTCGGCCGTCGCCTCCCGCCCAACTTTGTAGCCCTGCGGCATGAGATTTCTGATTCACGTGGCTGCCATGCCTTGTCATGCAATGTGAGCTGCTGCGAGATTTGCAACTGTTTGAACAATGAGCTGCCCAGAAGTCGTGTGTGTGTGTGTGTGTGTTTGCGTTTGTGTGTCTGTGTGTGTGTGTGTGCATGTGTTTGTGCTGCCCCTCCAGCAACACCCGAAGCGCTTCAAGGCTCAGAGGGCCATCAGGCCTCGCTCAGCACACGAAAAGACGTTTTGGTCCCGACCTCACGACTATAGCGGAGTCTGGGCCAAGGACAAACCCACGTGCTGCAGAAGAAGTGGCATCAGGAGCCGAATCAAAGGCGTTCTACAACGTGCTTGTATCGTTCGAAAGCTCGAGCCAATTTTGTGCACAGGAGACCACCCAGCTCCACTATATGGGAGAAAAAGAGCAAATTGGGAGAATGTGCGAAAGAGGGAGAGAAACAGAGGGCGCACGGCAACGCGGTTGTTTGGCAATGTTGCGTGCGGGCTCAAGACTGCACCTCTCCCAAACGTCTCAGTCTAAGATGTCCAATGGCATGCGAGCCAGGCTTGCCATGCTCATGTGGAACTCCCACGTGCTGCTCGACATTTCTCCGAAAACACCGGCTAGCTCAGCGCGTCCCCTCAACCTCTGCAGGCTGCCTGCGAGAGCCCTCAAGAGGGCACCACCAACCGGAGCTCCATCCTGGCCACCACGACCCCTTGCTTAAGCTGCCATGATAAGCATTCCCACGCTTGGTCAGGCCAATGCGGCCCAACCTCAACAACGGTTCGGAACGGCTCGGAAGGGCTCCAGACGGTTCTCAATGGTTCGGGACGATTTGGAACGGTTCGGAACGGTTCGGGACGGTTCGGAACGATGCGGAACGGTTGGACGGTTCCGGACGGGTCGGAACGGGTCGGCTCGGAACTGCTCGCAACAACTCGGGAAGATTCGGAACAGCCTCACAGCAACCTCACCTGACAGTTGAACCCATAATTCTGGGAACGCTTAAGACTGGATGTGCATCGCATGTTCGATTCTCATTACACCCCTCTAATGGCCGTGGGGCGCTAACCTCCTTAAAGTTGAGTTAAGCGTTTCAGCAATGTGAGTCTTCTATCAGATGTGAAAGGGTCAAGGCTTTAGGATTTGGCGTTTCGGATTGTTGAGCAAATGCAAGTGCGATGCAACATTATCGTATGACATCCCCAAAACACTAGCTCTATAGCAACAGCTATCAACCTTGCAAACCCTTACTTGTAATTAATTCGAAAATAATTCGAAAAATGGTGGGCTGACTAGGATCCTAGATGCACACACTTCTAGACAGGAACTCTGCATATTCGACAACATGCTTCTCTGCAATGCCTCGCCACTGCCCACGATGCGCCGCACGTCTTGCGCGATGCAGCCGCCTGTGCATCCAACACTCGCAATCCGACCAAGGGAGCATGGCAGCCTGGATAGTTCCATAAGGTTGCGGTGCGTGCCATAGTATATAGCTATATGGGCAAGAAACCATCGTGTCAGGCTTAATAGAGACTCTGGCCCCCCGTCCTCAAGGAATAGGGATCCGAATATGCAGGACTGAAAGACAGGAGGTTGCCTAGTTCCATACCTTACCTACAAGACCCCACTTTTTTGTGTATGGTCTCCCTTCGGGTTCAAATGCCCAACAATCAGGCCACTGGTTTTATCGGCGTAAGGTTTACGGTTTTACACGAAGTCAACCGGACCGTCCCGTAAAACCCCAAGCGCCTGAGTAAACAGATGTTGCCTCCGAGCATACCTCGAGCTGCGATCAATTAAGGCTTAGGGTTCAGCAATTTCTTCCCTTTGGTTAGTAGGGAATGGAGGAATGGGGCACAATTATAACTACTATTACTATCATTCTTCCATTCCCTACTAACCAAAGGTAAGGTTTTTTGGTCTCAGAGCTCAAGGGTTTAGGGTTTTCGGTTCAGGGGTGAAAGAGCTTCGGAGTGCCAGAGTGCCGCAAGGACGTTCCTCAAGTTTGCCTTGAAAGTCGTAGAATTTAGGGGCAATACTTAATATTGGCTAGAACAGGCTTTTCAGGTTACTGGGCCATACTGATTGCCATTACCAGTTGTTCGAACCGTTATACTACCGAACAATCATCAGTAGTTGACTTTGACCATTCTTAGAGGCTTACACCTTCTTACCGTACATTCTTACCTGTCCAGCAACCGTGGGCTGCAAATCCAAAGCTTCTCCACATAGCCAAATCCCAGCACTCGAAACCCTTTATGCATAACCTTGAGGCTTGAACAAATGCTCGAGACCGACGCCCAACCCCCTGCAAAATCTCAAAATCTTAACCCCAAGCCCGAAACCGTAAATTCGACTGGTAAGACTGCACCCCACTCTGTGGCGAGATGCCAACTCCATGGCGAAGATGCTATGCCTCGGCGAAGCGACAATTTTCCGTTTCTTTGAAGGTTCTCCAAAGCTCTTAGAGGAGATGATAGAGCTTGAAGGTTTCACAGCTTGAGGTTCATGGGCGCATGCTTTTTCGGCTTTTACTTTAAGCTTCAGGGTTGAGGATTTACCTGGGAGTTCGGGGTGCAGGGCTTCGGGAGCAGGTTTGGAGTCGAGCGGGCAAACTGTTTGCATGGGATCAGCAGTGGGTCTTGCTAGTGGGTGCGCTTTCACAACGTGTAGAGGAATGAAGAGCAGACAAAAAGGATATGTATGCATGTATATGCATGTACGTATGTTTGTATTTACAATATATATATATATATATATATATCATTTAAACACATCTTATGGTAACCCTAACCTAAGCCCACTAGCATGTGGTTTGGGACATCACAGTGTCAGCCCAGTAGCTGCATGTGATCTGCCACAAAGAGTGTGCCATTGGGCGCCAGGAGGAGGTCCTCGAGAAAGCTTATGGGGGTCCAGGGTTTAGGGTTGCCTCTAGCTTTCCATTGCGCGACCCTCCGTTTGAAGTATGTAGCACCTTATCACGATTTCCTTGTATCTTTCAGGCTTTTTGAGACTCGGGTAATCGTCAGCTTAGGTTTAGGGCTTAAGGTGCGGGTCTTGGGCTTTGGCTGACAACGGATTATGAACTGCCGAGAGAACCTTGGTTCCGGCTTTGCAAGCATGGATACACCCAGCAAGCAACCTCAGACCAGAAACGCCTCATCCGCTAGGGGAAACCACCGCTGAGCAGCAAGCTCACGAGTCGTTCTTCCGACGTCATCACGCCGAGCCTTGCTGGCTGCACGTTCTAAACCCTAAACAACAGCAAAGCTACGTGCTCCGAATACCTTCGATCTGGCCCAGAGCCGTAGACTCCATGTATGAGGCCGCATCGCGCCAGCCAAGCTCCGGCTTCTCCAACTCTGGACTCGCGCTGACGGCTTTTTACGCCGAATGGCTTCTGCGACATGCGCCAGTGAGACAACGAGAGCTGTGTCCGTGAAGCGCGAGGCTCCGGTACGGCAAAACACCTCGCACCTGAAATGTAAGCAGCTTCTGCATTGGACTGAGTTTGGAGTTTAGGGTTAAAAGTCTGAGGCCTTGAGGGTGTGTAGGGTCTTGGGGATTGTGGTCTGGGAGTGCAGGGGTAAAAGTCTTACGGATTCTGGCGGAAGGAATGATCCCAATCTTACTTCCCCACCAACCCGAGGAATTCAGAGGTTCACTCTTTCAGAACAATACCAAGTCATCAGAACTCGGGCATGTTTAAGATTCGGTGGAAGGAGATTCTATTTCTGTTGCAGGTTGTAGAGGCTAAAGCCGCAAGGCTTACTTGGAGGCTCGGGGGACCGGATGTCAGCTGCCACCATGCACCCCCCCAACCCCTGAGACATAAGTTAGACAGTTTTTTTGGAAAAAACGTATCCAAAAACCAACACGTCCTTGGGATCTTGGAGCATGCCGATGCCTCGGAGCAAGTTTGTCGTAAGGGTGTCGGGGGCAAGTGGTTAGGCTTTGGGGATTAGGGTTTGGGAGTGTTAGGGTTTGGGGAACAAGGTTTTGGTTGTTTATGTTAGGTTAGGAACCTCATATCTGTGGTCTTTGCAGTTTGTCCACGATTATTGCGTAGAATGAAGTACTCGAGTTTCGGACAGCGACCTTCGAAGCTCGAGTCGAAACCTCGTGCTTCGTGCCGAGCCGCTGGCTAAAATGTCATGAACACCGCAAACACTACCTGCGGGTTCAACTACCGGCTGTTGCGATTCTAGCCCCTTGCAATTTGAAGGGTCTCGGGCTGCCTAAACTTCACCACGGACCTTACCCTGAAGACCTAAACCCTAAAGTCCACAAACGCAAAGCCCAAAAAGCACAAACCAAGTTGAGCTCGGACTTCCTAAAACCCTAGGAACAAAAAAACAGAAAACAGCAAATTTCAAAGACCTTCCCAACCCCCTATCCTATGCCCGAGAACCATCCTGCAACTCCAATCTCCCCAATCGCCTTGTAGCACTCGCACGCGTCTCGGCGAGGCCAACAGGTCCAAAACCAGAAGCGACTCGGAGTGCTCATCGGAAATGATGGCCATGCCTTACAGCGGCGCCCCGGCAAAGAGAAACATGTAGATTTGGGGGGATTCTGGCCATCATTTCATCTCGCTCTTCAGCGACGGCTGTTGCCCGCATCAACCCGAAACAGTACTATTCTAGTCAAACCAAGATCCCTAGAGCACGACCCTAAACCCTAAACCCCCGAAAAGAACCAGTATGACCTTCTGCGGTGTGACATCCCAAAAACCCTAACTGCGTAACCCGCACCCAACAACGTTACAGCTTCAAACCCCACCACCTACATCCGAGTCGCTCCCGTCTGCAGACACTGCGACGCCCACAGGCACCGTGGTAACCAAGTCCTGCGCTGCTGTGCTAAGCATCCGGTGCGGGATCAAGGTATAGGCTTTCTGGCATATACAGGGGACTGTGACTTCAGGCCTAGAACTTCGGTGAAGGCGTCCTCCCTGAAAGCTTCTACGATGCGCAGCCGAGATTCCACAACGTGCAGCCGAGGGGCTTACTAACGAGGGATCTTACGTTCTATCTCGTGCTTTCCCTTGCTTTCTCGATCTCTCTCTGTCTCTCTCTCCCGCTCTATCTTTGTCTGCCTCTCTCTCTCTCTCTTTGTCTCTCTCCGTCTCTCGCTGTCTCTCTCTCGCCGTCTCCGTCTCCGTCTCTGTGTCTCTCCATCTCTGTCTCTGTCTCTCTTTGTCTCGCTCTCTTTCTCTCTCTCTCTCTCTCTATCTCTCTCTTTCTCGTTATCTCTCTCTCTCTCTCTCTCTTTCTATTTCGCTGCCTCCCTCGCTCTTCTGTTCTTGGAGGATGGTTGCGAATCCAGTGATATCCTGCCGTTACTAGCATTAAGGCCCCTATTATATCTGGGACTTCCGGCTGCTGATGAACCTTGCCCTGAATGCGAGTCAGGTTTTCAGGGCTCACGGCTTTAGGGCTTTAGGGCATGGGCTTCAGGGTACGGGGCTTCCTGCAGGCTTTCTGGGTGTAGGGTGTTAGGATTTATAAGGGTCAGGGGATTGTGTTTGGATATCGGGTTTTCACAGCTTTGGGCTTCAGGGCTTGAGCTGGCAGAAGAAGCATTCGACCTTTTTGGTTTGGCACGGCTTTCGTAACTTCGAGTGGTGTTTGGACACGATGAATTCAGGGAACCAGGTTTAAACATGTGTTGTTAGGTTGAACTTCGGCCTTCGCGGATGTCGTTTCGAGGTGTGCCTTAGAAACTCCGCTTCTGAACAGATTACTGGAGTACAGAATCCAGAACGCAAACAAACTCTGCAAGTATACGTTTTAAGTAAGGTCGCAATAAGGACAAAGACACTGGGTAACCCTAAAACCGAAATCCACGCAAACCACCGTAAAATCATAGCTGGTGAAGCCCAACCACCCAGCAGTCAAATCTACGCACAACGAGCAAGTTCATGAAGACCAATGCCCCCCTTCAAAAAAAAAACAGAACATGTGCAAATCTAAATTCTGAACTTTCGACACGGAAAGAGAAAAGCCCCCCACCCACCCTCCCAGGTCTCCCGGGGCAGGTTGGCGGATGTCACGTTCGGGTCTATGCTGATGGAGTATGTGGCCTCAAACTTGCTGCCTGTTCAGGCGGGCCCAAACTTGGCGTTTTTGCGGGTCAGGACTGACGGTTGTAGAGTTGAAGTTGAAGGGTATGGCCGAGCACCTTACAAACAGGTTTCGGGTTTTGGAGGCACGACATCCTAATTTCTGTGTTGGAGGGCGATGGGTTTAGGGTTTCAGACTGAGGTTGTAGGGTTACAAGGCTTAGGGTTAAGGTCAAACTACAGGCCTCGCATGGCTTCTACATTTCAGGGAACCCTCCCAAACAAAACGACTCTGACGAAACACTAAACCCGGCTAAACCTAAACGCAAAGCCTAAACCCTCTATGTATGTAGGCCAGGAGCCCCAAGCCTGCTTTACTCAGCTCAGAGGCCTAGCAAGTGGACAGTTGAACTGAGCAGCAAGCCCTTCCTAGAGAGCCCATGCAAGAGGGCGCTTGATTAGCTCTCATAAACTTCTATCAGGTTTGCGATGTCCCTATCAAGTGTTATGCTATTGGGCCTCATAAGGATCTTTTGAAGGGGTCCCAAGAGGGGTTGTATTACATGATCGTGTTTCAAAGGCCTCACTTGTGGGACCCTATAACAAGTAGACTAAGCTACCGAATACTGAAGTAACTACTCAAAACTGCAAATCTCATGATCCTAAGCACAAATACCGGATGAATGAAAATTCGTGTTTCGGATCCTTGGGCTCTCTCAGGATTATGGTCGGGGTTGAGGGTTCAGCAAGCTTCCCGTTTTTTGAGCCCTCCGAACCCTCGAAACCCTAAACCCCGAGCCCAATCCGCCTCAACACTGAGAACTGAATCCGAACTTGCTTACTTTGGGCTTCGTCAGGCTTCTATGGGGAAGGGCTTTGGGGTTACAACGTAAACCTGCTGAACGTGGCATTCCAGAATACTTGTGACTACGGGCACTTGCAAGCTACATATCTGGCCGTGCTTAGAGGGCAAATGGTTGGGTTGAAGTATATACACCTACGATCACGCTTTCCCTGGATACCGAACCTCCCATCCGCCCCTAGAACCTTCGATTCCACAACACAAAGGCCTCAGTAATCAAAACCTGGTTTTGCAGTTCCGGCTGCAACATAGCATACGAAGTTATAGGTTGGGACTGTAAGGCACGATGTTGATAATAAGTACTCAGACACTACCTTATAAATAAATACATATATATATATATATATATGTACATATGTATATTTACTTATTTATTTACCATCTGGTCTAAAGGCTAGAAACCCTGAGATCGCCCTGCGCCCAGCAGTCATGGCCTGAAGTGCTCACCACCAGGGGCCCCGCCGCGCTGCTGATCTGAGTCGCTTTGCTTCGTTCCAATATTCTAGGTTCCCCAGGAAGCCCTCCAAATATCTCGAGGATTCCCACCTGTAGGAGGTTGTAACGCATCTCTGATACGGTGCTTATCGGGGTTTCCGATGGTTTTGCTTTTATGCTCTTCCTACTACTCGTTTCAGTCTTAACCTCGGGGCACAGACAGAGCCGCAAGGCAAGTATGGTGGCTTGAAGCTTAAGGCTCAGGGTGGAGGATCAAAAAAATTTAAAAAGGATCAAAAACAAATTTAGGCTGAACGGATCAAGAAAAAATATAGGAAGGATCAAAAAAAATTTAGGGATTGGAGATTTGCTGCAAACAACGGCAAGTGCTATTCATCCTCGCGCCGGCGCAAGTACCTCCTGCCGTACTCTTCCTTGGCCTCCCGGTGCACTTTGACGCCGCAGTTTTGGTACCCAACCCACTGGCTTTTGCTGTCCGCCTTAGGCGTTTTGGGTGGGTACCAAACCGTGACACCGAACTTCACAAGGAGGAGGTGCTTCGACGCGTCGATGGCCTGGCTCGGTGGCTCGGCTCTGCTGGATACCTAATTTGGCCCTCGTGTGCGCGCGCCGTTTACCTGGAGGCCTGGAGGTTGGGCGGGCCGAGGTCTAGCACCTCCGAGGTCCTTGCATGGTTTGCATTTCTTACGTCTGCTGACTTAGGTCTGCTAGAAACTTGTAAGCTAGGCTTGCCACGAGTTCGTGCTCCGGGTCAAGTGCACGGCAGGCTTCGACCTTGGCTGTGGTTGCGGTTGCATACTTTCCCATGGTGAACGTCACCTGTGAGGCTCCAGCACTCCTGTCGCGCGAGGCTCCTCGCAACAAGCAGTGCTGCAAGAATGTCTGCACTAAGCTAGGTTTGCATGAGTTTGGCAGTCTTCCTGCTTTTTCTGTGGCCTGAGACATCAGAGATGCACAGCTTTGCTAACATGAGGTTTGCACAACTGCAGGGTTGCTGCGGGTTCTTCGTCTGCTCCTGCGCCGGTGCATAAGAAGATCATTCCCAAACTGAGACGAGTTGCCCGCCCTGCTCCTGCTTCTGCGCCTTGCGCTGGCTGCCCGTTGTACGAGTAGAGCCTTATACAGCAGGATGCAATGAAACTTCCGTGTCAAGAAACAGGGGTGGTCAGCTGAGAAAGAAGCCACGGTTCTTTCCACGGCCCATGACGCTCTCAAGCTCTAGGGCTGACTGCTTGGGTTGGACGGTAGCTTGAGCTTGCATGCTACCGACGGAAGGGAAACAGCAAATGCATCCAGGTTTCGGTGCTTCGACCCGCATGGCGCCGATCAGTATTAACGCTTGTCAGTTGGCCCTGATAGTATCTCCGCGTGGCCGCCCCCAGCTCGTCGCCACCCACCCTTCCTACCACGGCGCCTCCCCTACCAGTGGCAGCTCGGAGATCTGAGGCTTGCGCGACGGAGATACTGTAGTTGTGTTACATGCTGGTCTATGGTTTCTATTATTGTATATATATACACGGGCTTACCACAGATATGTGTATAGCTATATATATATATATATATATATATGCTCACCCCCCCCCCCCGTTGACAGACCATGCCCTTGTGATAGTGTACTCTCGTTCGGTGACTAGGCTGAGATATTGTATCTAAATCTAAACACACCACACATGACGACAATCTGTAAAGCAAATCATTTACAGTACATATACCAAGTATACTTTTAACATGCCATGTACTGAGGACGCATGGACCAGACGCGCGACACGTGAGTTATGAGTTTTGTGGTAGCATTGATGAGTATGAGTATGAATATTGGTATTAGTATTAGTAACAGCAACAGTATTAGTGTTTACTGTAAGTATATATATATATATATATGTATATATCGACAGTAGTAAGTATACAGTAATGTTAGTGCTCATCTTCGTTTTAGTCTTAGTGTTATTGCCAGTGTCAGTGCCAGTAATAGTACCACTGCTAGTATTAGTACCAGTCTTCATGCTGGGTTTAATATCAGTTAATAATGGCAGAGGTGCTAGTATTGGTATCGAAATTAGAGTTAGTCTCGATATGTTACTATTCTGATAGTTTCGTATATCAGCAGGTTAATATATCAATACATTGATGTGTTCGAGAGGCA